AAAAAAAAAAAAAAGGAGTGGAACTCGCCTTCATTGCATCTCCACCTGCATGCAATGGTAATGGTGTGGCCTGGGCAGTTTTGAGACAGACCTGGGGCCACTTCTGAGATGACAGTTGAACCCTTGTAAGCATCCAGGGCCCCAACCTGAAAGCCCCACCACCACACTGGGGTCTCTGGACGGCATTATTGGTGGCAGATCCATAGGCCCAGGGAAGCTAGGCCTGGAGAGGGGGGTGCTTTGAGTTTAGTGGGGTGACACCCCCACAGAGCTTTCCCTGCCCCTTGGGGCGGTGGCCTCTGCCCAACTGACGTGGGACGAAGGGCAGCTCTGATGGACTCAGCTCCATGGTCTTGCATTTTCCTTTTCTCCTGGGTCAGGTGAAGAAAGACCTGTGGGATCATTTGAAAAAGCAAATGGCACCATTTCTGGAAAACAGAGGGGACGCTCTGCCTAAAGACCGCCCAGTGGAGAGTAAATTGAGAATGGGCCTGGTTATCCTTAACTTGGTGGAAAGCTTGGAGTTTCCCTTATCAGAATCTGACGAGTCCTCGCTGTGCGACCTCCTTTGCTCAAATGCCAGTTCAGCTGACGAGTTCCATGACGACGTCAGCCTTGTCCTTGGAACACCTCAGAGGTAGAGAGAGAGAGTGTGTGTGTGTGTCTGTGTGTGTGTGTGTGTGTGTGTGAAGGTTTTATAACTATTTCTAATGATTTTCAAAATAAGTGTGTATCATAGAATAGATGAAAACATACGAGAAATAAAAACTGCCCACAATGTTACCACTCACTCTTTACCCCTCTAGCCTTTTCCTGCATATTTATTAATTGTATTACCTATTCTGGTGAATGTGTTGCTTTTGAGACGCTTTGTGGTGTCACCACTTGCCCTCGTGGCATGTATTTGGCAGGGTTACATATGGTATGGTTGACAGGAGGAGCTCAGCCCCGGGACCTCTGCGGAAGCCGAGTGGGTGCTCTTCCTGTGGCCTCTGCCCCCCGCCGTGTTCAGTTCAGAAGACCAGGGTCGCCGTGCGGGCCAGGGTGCTCTCATGGTATCACGGTGGAGACGTCAGGTGTTTGTGTTGTCACGGCCAACCTGAAGGAGCTTAGTGTCATTGGGTGGGACACTGGGTGGAGCCCCTACTCAGGCCCCTCTGATGACCCCAGGATCTTCCTGTAGCATTTCCTGCAGCTGTTGACATTGAACTTGAAGATAATATTAGGTAGCCTGCCCTGAGCAGCAGGTCTTATTAGGATGTTTGCCTCGTGGCTTTACAATTTTGCAGCACCAGCTCAATGCTATACATTTTCACAGACAGGAGAAACGGTGGTAAATGTATGACGTTTGTGTACATGTTTCAAAGTATACAAGCCTTGATATTTTGTGACTGTGCGGGATATGCCATGTTTTTACAGGCTCCCCCGTAAACATTTAAAAAGTTGCTTTATATGAAGATTTGCATTTGCCAGATGTCCTGGGTTCACGCCCTGCTCTGGCACCGTGTGCAGATTACTTAGCCTCCTGGGCCTCAGTTTCCTCATCTGTCAAGGGGGATGGAAATGACACCATCAGGAGCTGACTGTGGGGCTTCCGTGAGGGCGTACTCTGTGCCTGATGCTTTGGGGGGTTGCTGAAGTTACCTGTCTCCCATATGACCCGTTTTCTCCCCGGTTTAGTCACTCAGTGCTCAGCTACCCATGGTGCTCCCATCGGCCCGTGTGAGGAGCAGGCACTTTCCTGGTGGGACGTCAGACCCACAGGTGAGTGTGACACTGGCAGCCCACGGCTCACTGTGGCTCTCTGTCCCCTTCTAGCTGGCGAGTGCATTTGGTAAACCTGTGCCTAAGGAGCATTGATAAGAAGGTCAACCTCTGGGTGGGCATCCTGCCCGTGCTGCATCACTGCATGGAGCTGTCTCCTCAAGGAAGGGACTCTGGGACTCAGCCCGAGGACACCTGGGCAGCCCTCGAAGGAATCTCTTTCTCGGAGTTTCGGGAACGAACTGCAGATAAGTAAGTGTCAGGGTTGTGCATCTGCTCGTGTCGGTGTCACCGCTGGGCGTCGAGAAGCTCAGGGGACTTCGGTGGAGCAGTCCTTCCTGCTGCTCGAGACACAAGGAATGTGTCACTTCTCGTAGAACTACTTCTTTAAAAGTTCTTAAACATGCAAGAAATACAAAGAAAATGACAAAAGTGGCCTGTGGCGAGGCCAGAGATGGCCATGTGGTTAACACAGGCATGCGTATTACCAGGGTTTTGTCCAAATGTGGGCATGTGGTGCTTTCTGTGCTTAAGAAACAGCAGACGAGAGATGATTTGTTCTGTTTTCCAGCCTGGTTTTCTCCCTTCCAGTGTTTTGTCAGTAAATAGACACCTGCATTGTCACCCTAATGGCTGCTTAGTTGGTATAGATTAGTTTGAGCCAGTTACCGAGCAAGTGGATTATTTCTGCACTGCTGCCCTGTAAGCGTGCTTTGCTGCGTAGCCCGGTAACATCCCTGAGCAGTTACTTCCTCAAGATCAATTCCTGACAGTAGAGCTGCCAGGTCAAGGCTTGGCACATGTTGAGGTAGCCCAGCATCAGCCTTACGGCACTAAAGCTTTCTTAGAGAAAACACAGGTCACACAATCCACGAAAGAAAAATGGTAAATCAACTTTAAGCACAACAGTCAAAATCATCGAAAACACAAATATGAACTACGTACCAAGAGATGAACACTCCCGCTCATTTCTGAGTGTGGGCGCCCCACCCCATGTACGCCGTCTTTTGTCGGAGAAGCCGTTCCACACCCCGTCCGTCGCCCCTGCCCCAACCCAGCGGGATCCTGCATATAGGCTTTGAGGGATTAAAATCGCGAGCTAAATGAAGTGCTTCTTCTATCGGAACCTTTTGAAATTAAAGCCAAATTAGGCTTATTTAGATAATTATATGTATTTTAAATGTCCTTCAGTGGTGTTCAGACTATCCAGGAGAAATTTCGCTGTTAACGATGGGCAAACACTAGAGCCTGCCTTTCGGGCAGAAGCGGCCGGCAGTGTGTCCTGAACCTGTAGCCATATGCGCTTGGTAGCCTCTGTCCCTGCCGTGGCATCCTGCTGTATTTATTTTACAGTTGTCATCTTTTGGTGTCTCTGGTGTAATGTTACAGATTGAGCATAACTTAAAAAGACCGCTGGACTCACTTGAACTGTGATTCAGAAACTATCTCACTCACTTTGGAAAATAATACAGTGGTCCCTCAAAAAGCTAAAAATCAAACTGCTGTAGTTATGATCCAGCATTCCCACATCTGCGCCCTCATGTTCATGCAGCGTGATTCACAATAGCCAAGACATGGAAACAACCTAAGTGCCTGTTAATGGATGAATGGACCCAGAAGATGTGGTTTAGATATAAAATAGAATATTACTCAGCCATAAAAAGAAGGAAATTCTGCCATTTGTGAAAATATGGATGACCCGTGAGGGCCTTATCCTAAGTGAGATAAGTCAGACAGAGAAAGACAGATACTGTATGATCTCACTTATACAGAGGATGCCAAAAAAATGTATACACACTTGAAGAAAGGAAAAACTGTATTAAAATAATACTCAGTATATACCGATAACAAAAGATGAATACAAGTCACATGTGACTTCTGCAATGACAAGAGGTGCTCAAAGTGGTTCCCATCAGCGTTCAGACACTTCTGATGACGGCGAACTACTGCTTGAGCCACGTTGACCGAAGTGTACAGATGACTTGTATACATATTTTTGGCACCCCCGGTATATAGAATCTAAAAAAAGTCAAACTCAGAAACAGAGTAGAATCTGGTTACTGGGGGCTCGGGGCGTGGGGAAAGGGTACAGACTTCCGCTTTGAGGAACGTTCTGGGAGCTAAAGTATAGCTTGGTGACTGTAGTTTTTGGTGCTGTATTACATACTAGAAAGTTGCTAAGAGAGTAGATCTTAAATGTCACCACAAAAATGATATGGCAACTATGTGGCACGATGCAGGCCTCAGCTAACCTATAGGTTCACAACATATAAATGTTTACCACATCAATACATTGTATACCTTAAAGTGACACAATGTTGTATATCAGTAGAGCTGGAAAAAAAGCTTCATTGTTAGTGAGTTTTTTATTGTAAAATATACAAAACATGCAATTTACCAACTTCATCATTTTAAGTGCACAGTTCAGGGACAGTAAGCACACTCACAGCGTTGTGTCACCGTCACTCCCATCACCTCCAGACCTCTCTGTCCTCCCAAACTGAATTTCTATTCCCAGTAAACAACAACCCCCACCCCCGCCCCCTCCCCCAGCCCTGGCAACCCCCTTCCACTTCCTGTTCCTATGAACGTGCCTCTCCAGGGCCCCCACATAAGTGGAATCATTCAGTATGTGTCCTTGTGTGTCTGGCTGATTTCGCTGAGCATAATGTCCTCGGGGTCCATCCATGTCGGTGAATTCTTAATATATTATTGTTTATCTTTTCGTTTGATTCATGACTTAGCGTTTAAATTATTTCAAAAATCTGAGCTTTCTGAATCCCTTCAAACATAATTTTATATATCTTAGTCTATTTTACTGGTCTCATGGTGGCCCTTTTTCTGTTCCGACTGTCCCTTATGTAGTAAATCATTGCTCCAGCTTATGGGAAGGAAGAGGCATTTGCTGGACGTGGACGAGCGCCTGTTCCGCTCCTGGTTCAGTCTGCTTCCCCTGAGCAACGTGGGTGATTATATGGCAGAATTCCTCGACTACTTGAGTCGCTTCCCTACTCGTGTCCTGGACTGTCTTGTCGGGACGTGCTACCGGCTTCAGGGAATTAAGGAGATCTCCTACAGGAATAAGGAGGTTTGTTGTCTGGAATAGGCCCTTGAGTTCTTGCTTATTAGCAAAAGCACATCAAAAACGAAATGTTCAGAGCCTATGATTCTTCTCTGAAACCTGACAGGGTGAAGCAATTGGAAACGAGAATTGGCGGTGGGGGGGGTCCCTGTTTATTAGGGCTAAAGGGTTGATTTACTTGAGTTTACTGTTTTAGTAATATTGTAGCCTTTTGTTACCTCATGACCGTGAGGCAGGACTGGACGTTATTGAGTGGCACATCGAGTGGCACATGGTTGCTGTCTTTCCTTTTCCATTTTGGGGGTGGAAGAAATGGTATAATTTTAAATCCCGAATTTTATTTGTGAAAGATGGAAGTTTCGTCCTTGAGCACCTTAAGCCTTGTTTGTAGAAAGAAAAGGATTAATTATTAGGCCTTATTTATGCTGGGGTTTTTTCAGGTCTGTTTTAGCAAACAGTGGTGCCATGATTAAGTCTCTCCCATTTTTCTTTTCGTCACCACCCTAGGATATTGAGAAGACTTTAAAAATGCTGTTGCACCTTCTGGATATGTACCAGGACAAGTAAGTAGGAAAGCAAAATGCAGTCTGTCTCTGGCACACGGTTATCCCATCCTGATTGGCAGCGTCCCGTATTTGCTGCCATAATCGGAAGGTCCTAAATTGGTATATATGCCGCTTTTTTATTCAGGTTATTAATGTAATCATCCTATTTTTTAAGCGAAAATAATTGACATGAACTCATAAGATTTTGGTTTGTTTCCGCCTTGTCTTTTTTCCTATGCATTTTTCCCATTTATCGCTAAACGGTCACCAGCATGGCGCACATTCCTGCTTATGTCCTGCATCACTGCCACATTCAGTCTTTCTGTGTATTTTGCAAGTCAGGCCAATTGAAAATAAAGAATCAAACTAGTTTGATATAATTGTCCAAAATCACTTGCTCCTGCCAGTTTGTGTGACCTCCGACACCTGAGGGGAAAGGACACAGAATACAGAAGAATAGAAATATCTGCGTGGTGGGGGAGATAAGGCGATGGCTGAGATTCCCACAGCACCTCTTGTCTCCCTGAATTCTTAGGGTGTTCAGGACGAAGGTGGGGTGTCGAGCACCTCTAACTTCCGGAGCATCCCCCAACTGTGTGTTTGCAGCATTGGCCTCGCGACTGCGTTCTCCTTTCTCTCGCTTCTCTCGCGGCCTTCTAAGCCCCACTCTGATCAGCCCACTCTCACCTCTGGCCACACGTCCGTTAGTAACAGGAAAGCTGGCCCCATTCAGCAGGAAGCGATTCAGGGCACAGTACACATCCTGGTGTTTTTCCTTTCTTCTTTCCTCCCTGTATCTTTCAGACTTTTTTCAAATGTATGCAGTATTTTAATCTTTCGTACTATACATCCCTAGCTTTTTTCTTTTGTGTGTGTGTGTGTTCTTAGAACTTTAGTAGATGGAGTTGGAGCAAAAGAGAAAACGCCCGAGGCAGTCTCCCATGTGGCTCAGGACAGCTGGGATACAGCCTTGGCCTGGGCACCTGCTCTCACTGAGGACTTCCTGTTTTTTTTTTGTTTAAAGGGGAGCTGACTGGCTGAACATCTCTGAGCACAAGCTCAGATTATTATTAAAATGGTCAGCCAGATTCCTAGCTTTCTTTTCGAATAAGGGAATACCCTGGACTAGTTGAACTTGTTTTTGCGACAACAGTTCAGACCATGGAGGTAACCCAAGGAACTGTTTCCTTTTTGTCTTGATCACAAGGTCAAGATGGATTGACATTTTCCTGATGTTAATCTAGATGGGACCAAACCAGTGCTTCCCCTGTAGGAATTTTAAAGGGAAGGAACTCATCATGGAGGCTGGGTGCTGTTTTCACATTTCTCCCAAATCTCTTCAATGATGTCTCTTAACTCTTTGCGGGGTAGGATTCTCCAGGAGAACTTGGTACAGTCCTACTTAACTGTGTGCCTGAAACTTCACACAAATGTCTGCAGATTCACAAAAGACTACAAGCATTATGAGATGCCTGCCTTGTCTGCTGAGACTGTTTGCAGAATTATCACACTTAAACCCCTAGTGGTAAGTGGAACACGTACACATAACGTCATGCCCGAGGCAGGTGTGGAATTTCGAGCAGCCTCAAGTTCGAAGGAGAGGCTCGTTCCAGGATTGCTGGAATGACGCCGAGTGGCCGGGTCCTTCATCAAATATTGTCACGTGCCTGGTCGGTGCTGGTTCTGTCCCATGCATCCAGGATATTTGGTGGACCTGTGTGCAATACTGCAGGGAGCGAGGGAGGGGTTAAAGTATAGAATTTCGGATGACTGGGTAACTGCAGAGCAGTGCAAGTGGCCGGGACAGCAGTCAAGCCACCCCACCCACACCTGTCCACGTATGGTCTTTCCCACTCGAGATTTTCCCTGTACACTTTGACTTAAACACACTAGTGAAGGCCACGCACCCCGAGTGCCTTCCCACATGGGTGGCGCCCTGTGCCATCCCCCACTTCAAGCCGCAGGGAATTCCCAGCACTATGTCCCCGCTCCACCTTCCTCGCCAGGGTAACCTCGCTTCTGACCTCGGCCCCCATGGATCGGTTGGCCCATGTTGAACCTTCTGCTTCTCATGTCTGACCTTCCTCATTCCATTATGTTTCTGAGATTCATCCATGGCATTGCACGTGTCACATTCATGTTTTTTTCATCGTATGTGGTCTTCACCCACTTGAGTTTACAAGCTGCAATGTGAAGGTGATAGAAGATTTTATATTTAGACTGTTTCCTTGTTAACCGTCTTAGAAGTCAGCGACAGTGCTGTAAAATAATTAAGTATATGTTTTAACTTTATTCCTTTTAGTTTTTGTTTTCCTTGAAATACCATGGACACATTTTAAAGTACTTTTATTGGTAAGATGGTTGCTTTCTCCTGACGTGGCTACTGTTTGAACCGTTGTAGGCAGGTGCCAACTTCCAGATAAACTGTGTTTAAGAAATCTGTCAGTTCTTTAGGGTGTATCTTCCTGCAGAAATAACTATCTCAAATGCTGCTTGGGATCTCAGGTTAGCGTAACCCATGTTAACCTGAGAGAGGGGCTGTGTTCCCCCAAAGAGAGCAGCCCCTGCACAATCAGGCCAGAGGACGAACCCCGCCCTTCTGGAGGGCCTGTGGGTGGTGGAGTGTGGCTGGAGGTGAAGCTGAGGTCTTGGCAAAGCCCGATCACAGAGGGCATGCACACCATGCTGAAGCTTCTGGCTTATTCTAGAAGTTGCTGTGTTCTGCTATTTGGGGACTTTAAGCAATGGCCAGCATGTCCTGTTTTCAGCTGAAAACCGTCTCTGCCTTTTGGTGGCCATGTGGTTCTGTGTGCTGTGCACCTGCCCCCTGTGCCTCAGCCTACCCTCCAGCCTGCTTACCTGTCAGGGTGGGGCCCATCGCACCCCAGGTAGGACACAGTCTCCTTTATGTGCCTTGAAAACACCCTATGCTTTTCTGTCTTGGCACTTACCATGGTGAACGGTCACGTTTGTCCGCCTGGCTGTAGACTGTTGGTCTCTCTACTCGGCAGTCAGTTCCTGTGGCAGGAACGGACTCCGCTTTGTCACCCTTCGCTTTGCCACTATCCTGAGTCTTGAGGCGGAGAGCACGTGCTTTTTCTCAGGGAGCATCTCTGGAGGGAGGGAGTGGCACCCGCTGATCCAGTTTTGTGGGCTCTGACACCTACACAATTTGCGGGGTTCTCTCCAAGAAAAAGAGCAGACACTAATCCAGAGCCTCCCGGGCCTCGGAGCAGGCCTCTGTGTGAGTGGGCTGGGCCGCAGCTGGGCAGGGGAGGCAGGCATCTCGACATCTCCTGGGGAAAAGGATTTGTGGAGAGGGAACGAAGGGAGAAAGCTCACCTCTTGGCCAAGACGTGGGCTGTTTGGGCTTAGCACTCACACTAGTTGGGGGTTCTCTGAGCTGCTAGACGCTCTGTGCATGGGGGCGGGTCGCATTTCTCCCTCCAGCCTGGAGAACGCGTGAAGGCTTTTCCTCGGGTCGGAGTCCATGGGTGTCTGTCGTCGGTACTGTGGAACCCCTCTGTCCTGTTATCGCATGGGGGCGGCGAGCATAGGGCCCTAATGCCAGTCCTTCTCTCCCGACTTTCTCCATATTGCCCACTTGGTGTGAACCCGAAAGATTTGGGGAAACGATAAAGCTTTGAACACAGGCTGCTGGCAAGGCCAGTGCGTTTGAACATATATGTGTAAGATTAAATGTGGCAACTTACAGAGCATTCACCATGAGTGGGAAGCGAGAGTAGCCCACACCCTCCAGGGCACAGCTCCAGGCCGCTTAACCCTCCGTCTCCCCCTCTCTCCCTCCTGTTGGTGATAGGATTCAACAGAAAAACAGGAAAATGAAACTGTGAAGAATTCAGTGGGGACCGTCTTCCAGGAGACTCTTAACACCACGAGAAGTTGGCTTAAGGGAGTTTTTAAGGGACGCATTTTCCAGAGCTCACTTGGCTCCTTTGTCAGGTTCACATACCCCCAGGAGATCCAGGTAAGCCAGCCAAAGGTGTCGGTGTCCGGCTGGGACCACAGCTGGGTCACGGGCTTCGCCTGTAGAATGGGGTTCCGCCGCTCCCCAACAGTTTTTGGAGGGCGAGGTGCTTGTTGTGCAGCCCCCGGGCGCCAGGCGGGTGGCAGACCTCGTGGGGAGGTGCTCCAGGGCGGTGGCTGGCAGGGGGTGGCGTTTGGGGTCTGATTCGGTGCTGAGGTTATGGGTCGGGTTTATGATGGTGTGGGAGAAAAACATGAAAGCAAGAACTGCTTGAAAGGAACAGTGGACAGAATGGCGCCTGAATGTGAGGAACAGAGAAGTCGGCTTCAGAGGGGTGGGAGGAGGGGCAGGGTTCAGAAGGGGGGCCTCGAGGGAGGGCGAGCGGGAAGGAGGAGCCGCTGGCACGTGGCCCTTGGGTCGGTGGCCTGCAGCATGAGCTCATGGGACACGGACGTGGCTGGGTGACTTCCCAGATGGTGGCTCAATGGGACCTGCTGAAGGCAGGGGGGGCCTTAGGTGGCTCCTGCTCTGTTTCTAGGGCCTTTCTGTTTTCTCCCTGCGCCCCACATGCTGTGAAGTTATCTCTCTTAGGCTCCCAGGGTGTTGGGGAGGCCATGGAACCCACGTAAAATGGCCTTTACCCTTGTCGGGAGATTTTCACAGGTCTTAGGCGTGTGGAACGTGACACATCTGGTTTATGCTCTGGGGTCGGTTCTGCAGGGTTACCTGCACCTCCCATTTCTCTAAAGTGAAGCGGGTGTCCCTTCATTGTGCTCTCAAGGACCCGAGTCGGGGTGGTGGCCACTGAGAAAAGCACTCAGTGGGAACGCTGGCAGATGAAGGCGGTGGTCGTGGGCGGCGGCGTTCTCCCGGCCGGCTAGCCGCCACCGTGTCAGTCACGGGTGTGAGGTCAGTGGCTCCTGCAGGAGTTGGTCCCACACGCACTCACGTCACACACCAGCCCGTGGTTTTTCTTCCTGCATCCACTTGGGCGGTGTCACCCGTATGTACGGCTCAGAACAAATTTCCTGGCTTCTCTCACCTTGGTGTCTTCTCAGGCCTCTGTCAGTGCCTACTTTCTGTCAAGATACAAAGTTGCTACAAATAGAGATCCTTTACATAGAATAGACTGCCATCCCATAATGAAGGAAAGTTGCAAACTTCAACTCAAAATGAAGGAAAGTTGCAAACTTCAACTGGAGCGTTTTAAAGGATTAGAAAAGCCGCCTCTAATTTGCTGTATCAAGTTTCAGGCTAATAGACTGAAATGCCATCAAAATAAAATCGAACAATTAAATATTATTTCAAGATTCCAAATGGTGACAACCCCTAAGCGTATGTGTGAGTTAGGGACAGCTGTTGGTCCACTGACACGAGGGAATGATCCTAAGTTAAATGCAGTAATAATAGTAAAATAATGGTAATAATTAAAATGTCATTGCACGTCCACTCTGAGGCGGATGCTGCTGGTTGCTCGTTTTACAAAGGAGGTGTCCAAGGTTTGGGGAGATGGAGAGAGCTGAGGAGGTGGACCCCAGCTCAGGCAGGCCAGGCCCTCAATAGCATTCCATCCAGCCCAAAGCAAAGTGGCCGAGCCTGCCTGAGTCCCTAAGGACCCATATCTCTAGGACATAGTTCTAGAAAGTGCGACAAGCCCCCCGCCCACGTGGCCCCCATCCTCATTTAGCCAGGTTTCAGTAGGCTGTTGCCTTCCCAGCTTGCTTCAGCGGGATAATCACAGAATCATAGAGCAGAAACTGTGTGTGCTCAGAGACAGGTGACCCTTACTTGTCACCTGTCCACACACAGGGGTAAAGATTGTTTATCCAAGTACGTGGAGCACAGCACGCGCCCTCAGGAGGGAGGAAACACACAAACATCTTGAATTGACCAGAAGCCTGCTTGTTGGTGATTGCATGGGTGGAGGTGCTGTAGGACCGAGCAAATGAATGCTGGGGTCGCTGCCGTGGGACGCCAGGTTCTTTCTCACTGCGGAGAAGGCGGGTGGACCAGGGCAGAGAGGCGCGCTCTGGACTGGCAGGGGCTGAGGCGTCATGGTGGGCGCCAGATCCCCAGAGCAGCAGCAACAGCTCCTAGCTCCATCCATCTAGGAAAGGGCCCAGGAATAATGCCCCCCAGGTGCGAGAGCACACCGAGAGCCCCGTCGTGGCATCTAAATTCCGTTCCCACTGAAAGACACCTGTGCTTCTGGAAGGAAGGCCGGTTCCAGAGGTGGGGCAGGGAGACTGCAAGGCCCGCCTGAACCGGCTCGTAGTGCCAGAAAGGAAGGATGAATGGTGACGCGTCCAAGGAAACAGGACCAGAGACACCTTGCGCTGTCCTGGGTTAGCTCCTGGGATGGCGAAAGGATGTTCATGGAAGACGGGAGGGATCTGAACGACGCCTTCCGTGCAGTTCATTCTAATCTGTCATGCTGGCTTTTTACCTGACGGCTGTGTCATGGCCGGGTGAGGTGTTAGCATTAGGGGGAGATGAGGTGACAGTATACGGGAACTCTCAACACTGTCTTCACACTATTTTTGTAAATGTAAAATTTTCCCTCATTTTTAGAAAAGGGAAACAGAAGCTAGCCTGAAGGGGATCCCACCAGCCGAACCAAGGACACATGAGTGTCAACATGAGGGACACTGGGAGTGGATTATAATTCGTTGATACTTTAAATATATGTTTACAGGAAACAGGGAGGAGAAAGGGAAGCATTTTTTAAAACTTCATAGAAAAACACTGACTTATACCTGTAGAAGAAACAATTGCGATAGAAAAGCATCATTCTGTAAGAGCTGCAATAACTAACTATGTCACGATCCACATACAAATGCTGAAATCAGAAGTAAGACGCGTTAGAGAACGGCATATACAGAGTACCTGGCCCACATTATGTTTTAATGCAAAGCCGAAGAGAGCACTTTGCAAAGGAGAAACCAAAATCCGGCCGAGGCCATCTTAGCCGAGGGCAGGCCTGACTCTCTGTTCAATGGGGCGAGGATCTCATAGGCCTCCTTGTGGCAGGTTCTCTGGGCAGCCGCCTCCCTGAGGTGTTAGCTGAGTCACGGGAGCGTGCTGCTACCTGACCCTGCCTGACCTACAGAAAGTGTGTTTTCACTGTGGCCCAATCCACTGAAACTTAATCTGAAGCTAATCATGGGGGGCTCATGAGACATGTCAGATCCAGAGACGGTCTACAGAACAGCTGGCCTGTACTTTTCAAAATTGTTAGCATCATCCAAGAAAGAAAGAAAAACGCTGGCAGACGCTTCTAGAGAAGAGATGTGATGGCTAAATGCAGTGCGTGTCCCTAGTTTGGATCGCGGACCCTGTCGGATATCAGTGAGCACCTGGAGGCTTTGGACAGGGACCCCCCTCCTAGAGAGCAGTGTCACACCCACGTGAGCTGTCCCGCATGTGACCCTTGCACTATGATCATGTAGGAGATTGCCTGCCCAAGTATTTCGGGGCTGAGTGGCATGGTGCCTGCAACTCACATTCCAGCGGTTTGGCCAAGAGCGCACGTGTAGACAGACCAAAGAGGGAGAGAGAAAGCAGCTTTGGTGACGGTAACGCCTGGGAATCCAGTTGCAGGTGTATGGCATCGTGCCATTCTTGCAAGTGTGGCATTTTTCAAAAGAAAACACTAGAGGGAAATTCTTTCAGAATAAAACCTGTCTACACAGCAGGAGGACCGCGGTGGTTACCCGGTCCAGTCAGGGCCCTTGGTTTCCTGCTGCTAAGTTGGGCTGCCCTGACTCACCAGTGACAAAGCTGGGGTCAGAACTCAGGTCCTCGCAGTCAGTCCAGCACTCTTTTACATCAGCATAATAGTCCTTTTTTCATAGAATCACGTTGTGGCATTTAGTTGTCATGGTGGCTGTCACTCACATGTGGGTTTTGCAGGTCTGGAGGCAGCTTTTGGCAATAAACTTCCCCATGGAGCTCGGCTGGAAGGAGTCCCTGCTGGGGGACCTGGAAGGGAGGCTGAAACAGGTACCAAAGTTGGGAATGTTCCTTTCAGGGTACAAAAGCATGCTGGCCAAACCAGACCATTAGTAACAACCAATAGATACGAAGGGTGTGCTTGAATGGACAGCCCTACTGCGTGCAGGGCATGGGGTAAATATGACTGTGCCAATTTCTGCTTCTGATCCAGCCTTCATTGTTTGAGCCCGGATGGTATTCCAGAGAAGAAGGGGACAGGGTCTTGGGTCTTGTCACCCGGGGACCCTAGCCTCTTGCCAGTTAAAGCCCTCCCATATGCAGTAGGTCCAAGTGGCCTGTTGGTCACAGGGCCTTGTTAAACCCATGACAAATGGGGAAACCACAGAACTGCCCTTCATTTTATATTAATGAAAACTGTGACCCTAGGGAAATTAGGGTTTATTTTTCAGCATGACATGAGAATTTCATGTATAACTGTCAAATGGATCTTTGTAGGAAAACAGAAGCAAGAAAAAATTCCTAAGTTTTCAAAACTTAGCTGTTTTTGCAAACTGGTGTGCCAGGTGCTTTTATGCGAAGTGCGGATAGAGACTGAGTTGTCATCTTGTCTGTCTAATGTTTGGGGCGGGGACGGTGAGAACATGCTTAGTGTTGGGGCGGGGAGAAGGTTAAAATAATGGGGAGCTGATAAGCCAGTGGGAAACAACTAGGGTGTTTTCTTCCCATAGAGTCCAGGCGCAGCACCCTAAAGATCTTGCACCCCTGTCTTGCGTTCTTGCAGGAGAAGCCCCGTTCCCAGATCTCTGCCTTCTGCAACATTAACTGGGAACACACCGACCCAGACAACAGCGTGTCCAGATGCTTTGAGAACTGTGCCATTGAAGCTGTCAGCTCAGCATGCCAGGTGAGCTGCCTCTCCCACCTGGGAAATGCTTCCGGGTTCATAGCCGCCTCCTGCCGTCCTCAGCGAAAGGCTATCAAATGCCCACTGGTTCTGAGTTGGGGCTCCAACTCCAGGAATGGGCCCTGGGCGACCGCCTCCTGGCCTGCAGGAGCGGTACAGGAATTCGGTACCCACAGCCGACTCAGCTTCCGGGTGCTGCTCGGCTGCCCCGGGCCGCACACCACAGCCACTCACATGTGACCTTAAGTCGAGTGGTCTCTCAGGCTGCTGCTCAAGGTCCCTGTCATTTATGTTGTGACTGGCTTGTTGTATCACCTGCTAATGCTGCTTAGCAGCTAAGCGATCACAGACACCGAAGGCTGACAAAGCATTTATGGAAGGAAAGCGTCTGAAGTTGCAAAGATTCTATCAATTCACTTTGGGTTTTCTTTTGCAAACTGGGAGGCCATTCTTCCCAACGCTGCCTCTTTGGAACAGCTGCCTTCTCTCTCTCTCTCTCTCTCTCTCTCTCTCTCTCTCTCTCCCCCCCCGTGTTCGTTCCTTAGGGTTTTGTATACATGAGGTCATGTCATCTGTGAATAGAGACAATTTAGCGTCTTCCTTTCCAATCCAGGTGCCTTTTATTTCTTTTCTTGCCTAATTGCCCTGAGTAGAGAACCTCCAGATAACGTTGAATTGACGTGGAGAGAAGGGACAGCCTTGTCTTGTTCCCGATCTTTGGGGGAAAGACGTCAGTTCTTCCCCATTGAGTGTGACGTTAGCTGTGGGCTTTTCATGGATGCCCTTTATCAGGTGGGAAAGCTCCCTTCTGAGTGGGTTTTTTGTTTGTTTATTTTGTTTTTTAATCATGAAACTGTGTTGGGTTTTGTCAAATGCTTTTTCTGTGTCTATTGCGATGATGGTGTGGTTTTATTCCCCTAATGCTGTGATGTGTTACATAAACTGATTTTTATGTTAAAGCAACCTTGCATTCCTGGCATAAATCCCACTTGGTCATGGTGTATAATCCTTTTTATATGGTGCTGGGTAAGGCTTTCTTTTGTCCTTTCAAATGTCAGAAAGTATCTATTTTAAACTAACCCTACATATAAAAACTTTGACCCTAAAGAAGGAACACATTTTGTTTCTTGATGAGGAAGCATAAAGTGAAAATGTAAGTGTTGCTTGTAGGCAGCCTTGGAAAGAGTTACAGTTTAGGAATACAAAGTACAGTTGACTGTGCCTTGGACTGCGAGTAACTTGGTTTGCTAGTGTTCCGCAAGATGAGCAAACATTTCTATTAGGTTGGTGCAACAGTAATAGCGATTTTTGCAAAAACTGCTATTACTTTTGCACCAACCTAACAATACATTTTAACTTGGTTAACGAGTGATGTCTTGCAATACGAGTAGTTTGTTTCTGGAACGAATAATGCTCGCAAACCGAGGTATTACTGTACATCGTCTATTATTGGTTTATTCATTATGTTCGGTGTTTCTCATGGTATGAAAGTCCAGGAAAAATGTAGAAACTGGCAGAGAGCCAGAAGGAAGGGGTGTGACTTGTGGGCTGTGTCTCTGTGTTAGTGCGTGAATGTCCCCACATCTCTGGTCCTCGTCACTCAGGGAGACATTTCACAGGGAAACAAAATACCCTAAGGAAAGTTAAGTATTTTACTCTTTTGCTTTTTCTGAGGCTTTGTGGAAGTAGTCACAAAAGATTTATGGGGCCAGCCAAGTGGCGTGTTGGTTAAGAGCTAGCTTGGAACGCCAGCTCTGAACAGCAGGGCCCCGACTCAGATCCCACGTGAGGGCCAGTGACGCTGCGCCCTCCACAGCTAAGATGGTGAACAACAGCTCAACCTGGAGCTGGGCTGCCGTGAGTTACTGGTGACGGCGTAGGCTGCAGTGGGGCTGCAGTGGGCTGCCATATGTACCGTGTGTGGCCAGCAGCCAGTGTGAGCGGCCAGCAGCCAGTGTGAGCTGCCAAGAGCCGCCATGAGCGGCCGTCCAGAGGCCGGTGACTGATCTGCCTCGCCTGGGAAGAGCGCAATGATCATACCAACATGGGCCAGTGAAGCGATGTCCTCCACAACTAGACTGAAGAACAAAACAGTAACTTGTCTGTTCCCCTTCCCCTGATTTCCAGCGCTGTTCCCCTTACCTAATTCCCCAGTAAAATCTTAAAAAAAAAAAAGATTTCTGGAATGCTGTTGGGTACTTTACTTCTTTTTGATTTTTAAGATTTTTATTGAGGAATTGGGGGATGGGAACAGTCCTGGGGAATTGGGGGAAGGGGAACAAACAAGTTGCTGTCCTTTTGCCCATGGCAACCTACTGCCACAGGGGCTGCAGCCTACGCCGTCGCCGGCGACTCACGGCAGCCCAGCTCCAGGTTGAGCTGTTGTTCAGCATCTTAGCTGTAGAGGGCAGTGTCACTGGCCCTCATATGTGGGATCCGAACCGGGGCCCTCTGGCGTCCCAAGCCAGCTCTTAACCATCGCGCCACTCGGCCGACCCGGGTAATTTATTTCTGTTATTTAAAAACAAACCCATCATCGTCATCATCCTCATCCTCATTCTAAATTTCCTTCTCTTTACTCGTTTTCTTATAGTCTCAGACCAGCATCCTCGAGGGACTGCCTTACCATGACTTGCAGCGGTTCGGCACACTTGTGTCTGCTGTGATCACCAAGTCCTGGCCCACACACAGTGGGGAAGCTGTGGATGGTCTGGGTGAGGTTTTAAAGCACCTGCTCACATGTCCAGACATCAAGCATCTGTTCCAATTGTATGGTATGTTTCTGGGGTGGCCACTGGGTGTCCTGACCCTGCTGGGGGCAGAATATTTGACCTCATACTCAGGGTGGGCTGATGTCTGACCAGGGGCATGGAGTGGGTGGAGGGACCCATCAAGGTTCAGGGTATCTTGGATGTGAGTGAGAACAAACACTGGAAGCCACTGTTCCTTGACTGCCTGCTGTGCGCTAGCTGCTGTGCTGATGTGTCCTGGGAGCTGTCCTGAAGGTCCCTGGTTTTCCGATGAGCAAAATGAAGTGGAGGGTGGGTTGGGACTTACCCATGGTCTCCAGGACGTGAAGTACTCAGATCCAAACCCACGGCGTCCCTGCTCTTGTTCTGAGACCGGGGGACATGTCCACCCGGTCCAGTGTTGTGGACCCCAACACAACACCGAGCTCTGCCCATTCTGGCACTACTGACCGTGCCCCACGTGTTTTGTGATCAAAGACGGGAGATGCATGTTGCCCTCAAAAGCATGATGTTCAAGTTTGTGTGTAAGTCGTTAGATTCAGACTTAGTGGAAAAGCACTGAATTTGGATCTAAAAATCCCAGGTTAGTTAATCCTGAGCCTCAGTTTCATCCGATGACTACAACAGCCCCCCCCCCGCCCCCCGCAAAAACAAAAGCCACATACGTGGCACAGCTGTTGTAGGGGGAAGGCCAGATCACTGATGTGGGGCTTTTCTGTATGTTTTAAGAGCTACTCCCTTGAAAAAGATATTTGTTTTTTTATATTTTAATTAATAGACCTTATTTTTTTAGAGCAGTTTTAGGCTTATAGAGAAACTGAGCAGAAAGTACAGAGTTCCTTAATTTATTTATTTATTTATTTATTTATTTATTGTTTTTAAAGATTTTATTGGGGAATTGCGGGAGGGGAACAGACAAGTTGCTGTCCTTTGGTTCTTCAGTCTAGTTGTGGAGGACGTCGCTTCACTGGCCCATGTTGGTATTATCATTGCGCTCTTCTGGGTGAGGCAGATCGCTCACAGGCCATTGGACGGCTGCTCACGGCGGCTCACAGCAGCCCACTGCAGCCCCACTATAGCCCCACTGCAGCCTATGCCGTTGCTGGCGACTCATGGCAGCCCAGCTCCAGGTCGAGCTGTTGTTCACCATCTTAGCTGTAGAAGGCACAGTGTCACTGGCCCTCATGTGGGATCCGAACCAGCGGCCCTGCTGCCCAGAGCTGGCGTCCCAAGCCAACTCTTAGCCAGTGAACCACTCGGCCAGCCCAGAGCTTCCATATTTAGCTCCCAGTGCACACTATTTCCTGTTACTGTCTTGCTTGGTGCATTTATGATAACTGGTGAACCAGCAGTATCAGTGACCGAAGGCCAGGGTTTCCGTGAAGGTTTTACGCTTGGTGTTGTGTGTCCTGGGAGTTTGGACAATTGTGTAAGGATGGGTGTCGCCGGTGACAGTATTGTACGTCCACAGGAATTTCTTGGCCCTGATTACGCTGTGCGCCACCCGTTCAGCCTCCCCTCCGCCCTCCCCTATAGTTTCACTTTTTCTAGAAGATCATATATTTGGAATCATTACAGTATGTAGCCTTTTCAGACTGACCTCTCTCACTTAGCAATATGTATTTAAGTTGCTTTTCAATAGCTCACGTCTTTTTTTTTTTTTTTTGGTCACCAAATAATATTCCGCTGAATGGACCACAATTTGTGTATCCATTTACCTACTGAAGGGCACCTTGGATGCTTCCAAGATTTGGGCGATTGTGAATAAAGGTGCTATATTTATTTTTAACGACACCAGGTAATTTTGGTCTCCTAATATCGCACGACCCTACTGTTACTTGGAGAGCAATCTTCTGCTGGTTAAACTAAGTTATTTGAAAATTCTGCCCTCTAAATTGATCCTAAAATTCACATTCAAAATTTTGCTAGATAGCCGAGAAGTGCTGAGGATAAAATTACGACGTGGATGTGCCTGTTTCCAGATGCTCTGAAAGTGCCCCCTAAAGTCATCGGGTCCCTGCTAGGTGACACAGTTTATTCTTCTGCTGCAGGGTTCTCACGATGGGGGCAGTTTAACAGAGACTGTATGTGGTGGAGAACACCGAAGGGGGCACAGGTTTTAAACGCCTGGGAAATGGGTCTCCTGGCTGATGGCGTCGTTCACAGGAGCTCTTTTCATGAAGGAAGGCGTCCCTGGGAAGTGGATTTGAGGAAGACCTAACCCTCCTGGGGGTTCGCAGGCGCAGGGACGAGAAGCTCACCTGAAAACGGTGACTCTGCTTGTCCTGACTGCCAGCTGGGGGCCGACAGGCAGGAGGTTACAGGAAGTCCTCGGGCTTGACAGAAGTGAGGTGGGGAGGAAATGGGGCGCCCCCTGTCTTAACTCTGTTCTTACCCCGACCAGGCACCAATGAGAGAATACTAGCCAACATAACCGAGGATGGCAAGAAGCTGATGGCCACTGCTGACTCCGTGTTCACAAAGGTGACCGGCGACCTCCGAAGTGGAGAGATTTTAGTGGAGCACCTGGAGCTCGTCGAGAACCATGTCAGTCCGTTTCTCGACATCTGGGAATTAAGTAAGTACCAGCTTGTGCTCTGGACCCGAGGCTCCTGGGGATTCTAAGAAACGTCTGATTACGTGTGGATTTTGTCGAGAGGTGGTCTGTGTCGTCTCTGACGGGTGGCTGTTCTTGACAGTACGTTGACTGGAGATGGTTTCTAATCCTCAGGAAAGAGATAAAATACGGACGAAGCCGGAGAGCGCTTGCTCTGTTTTTATTCCATGCTGCTCAGCACGTGGACAGCTTGGTAGAGGGGCTGCCGTGCACGCAGCCCTGAACGTGGAGTGTAGTCGAAGGGAGGATGGAAAAAATGGGTTGCCGTGGCAAAGGATATGCTTGTTTGTTCTATTGGGTGACTTTATTTTTTTTCCTCCAGAGAGAAAAAGTCTTTCACCCCAGGAGGAAAAAAACAATATGAAGGAAGTGCTGGCGTACAGACTGGAGGAACTAACATTTTTAAAGAAAGAGAAAAAATATGTTGACAGCCTCCTGAAGTTGTGTGAAGGGGTGAAACATCTGATAGAAGGTGCCGTTCTTACAAATTGTAATGAACAGAATTGAGCGGCCCCAAGGGGAGGAGGGTCAGAGGGAAACTCCCATAACGCGTCGCCGTAGCAGCGCTTTATCTTGGAGAGGAAGGCTTTCTTTTTAATGTGTTTGTTTTAAACAGTTAGACCTGTCACCTTGTTCTTCTTGCATTCCCTCCCGTGCCTCTAAATGCCATGTGTCAGTAGGTCTTTGGCGCCCCATGTTTATCCATCATGGAGGACGAGGGGGGAGCTGTTCGTTTCCCCAAACTCTGCCCTGCACACACACAACCTTTCCAGCCTCCCTTCACTCCAGTTATATCTTCTTTTTCCTTGGCTTGACCTTCCAACCTTTCCGTTGATTTTTTTCATTTCAGTTCTCGCATCTGTTCAGTTGACAGGAACCCTGTCCTCTGGACGACCCTCTCTTGTTCCTGTCGCAGTATCTTACCTTCCTGCGATGATTGATATTTTTGCTGTAGAGGTTTGCCTTTTTCTCACATAGTTTCCTATTTCCTCTGAGCCGCTTTTGTCTGTTGCTGTTTTTATATCTGCTTTTCACGTTGGAGACTTTCCCCGTATGCCTGGAAATTCTTGTTTTTATACGAACAGAGGAGCCAGGCAAGCTGACCAAGAACACTGAGGGGAGGGGTGTGGCCTTCGAGTGGCCAAGGTCTTCTCTCTGGGGCGGCTCCGACCCCTGTCCTGCGCCTGGAGGGTACAGGCTGGGTTTCTGGGAGCCGAGAGGAAAGCGGGCTGGAGGGTTCTGAGCATCCGACCTGCACATCTTCTCGTCCTGCTTTCCCTGCGGTCCTCCGTCCCCGTCTGCCCCTGGACCGTCTGCCTCCCTCTTTCGTACTCCTTCAGTTTAATAGACTCACATCTGGCAATGCCTGAACTCTTCCATGTTCCCGAGTCCTCCTGACATGGATGCAAAGACCCTCCATGTCACTCTCTCCAGAATAGAACCACCTGGTGCCACGGGTGTAGAATGGAGTGGGGTGAAAACCAGCCTATTTGGTCACTTCTTAAGCAGGTTCATCACCACCCCCCGAACTCCAGCGTCCGTACTTCTGGGGGATTGTGTGATGCAGACGTGCCGGACTCCCGGCTCTCCCCACGGCCGGCGAGGGCTCCACATCCTCAGGCCTACACCCTTCCTCCCCGTGGGCCCGTAGCTTTAATGTCCCCGAGTCTGTTGCTGTGATCTCCTTTTTACTCTTCCCTGCCATGTGGGTTTACAGGTTTAAAAAAAAAACGACCTCTGTTCCGGCCTTGGTGCTGGGATGTAGGGAGGGAGTGAACGCAGGTGCATGTCTTCAAACTGTTCCCCTCACTCAGAAGTTACGATGTTTTCTTTGTTGTGAAAATTGATGGACAAGCCAGGGAGGGGGGAGATGTCAGGATTCTTAGTGAGGAAAAAATGCCATCGAGTGTGTCCACTTGTTTCCTTAAGAGCAGTGAGGAGAGCAAATGCTGGGAAAGGAAAATAAAATGACATCATGACTGGGGATTTGACTTCTGCCTTCTCTTATGATTTCAAAGTGGATTTTGGAGAGATCGCGGAAAGACATTTGGAAGACCTTGGCAGTAAAAGATTAAAAGAAGTTGTGACAGTGAAGTTGTCACCCTCAGACTTGAAGTGGACGACACATTACAACCTGAGCCTCAAAGTCCAAGAAATGGCCAAAACGGTAGACTTGCTAAAGGACAGTCACATCTTCCGTGTCTTCTGGACAGAAGCCGCACGATTACTGAGCCAGCCAGAGGGGCAGTGGGAGGAGGAGGCAGATGACGGGGACGGGGAGATTCTTGGGCTTCAAGATGCGTATGAATATCTGTATTGTCCTTGTTTCGACAAGTTCAGTAATCTGTATAAGGACCTAAAGTCAGGCGAGGTCACCTTTGCGGAAGTCGACTCTACCTTCAAAGTCTTTGAGAATAAATACGAAGTCCTCACTGCCGACCTCCAGGTCATGTGTGCCCTGGATTCCAGGGACCCAAAGGACTGGATTAGGACGCGAGTTGGGCAGATCCAGGAATACCACCACCTGCACCAGGCTGTCCGCTCGGCTCAGGTCATCTTGGAGGTCAAAGAGAATTTGGGTCTGACCGGTGACTTCCATGTTCTCCACACTTTACTAAGATTTGTAAGTTATTCGCGAGGGACTCCTGGGGTGGGGCCGGGGTTCTAGCTCGGACTCCCCAGAGCCACAGGCTGTCTGGTTTTCACAAGCTGGACAGGGGCTCTCGGAGCTTTCTCCATGAGTCTGTTTTCCTTAATTTCCAAATACGCCAAGGGCTTGGTTTTCACCTGTTTATAAACACCATACCTGCTCTGTGGCCGGTGAGTGTTTTCTTGGGTTGGCATGAGGATGAAGAACTTAGGAAAGGGCCGTGAGCCCCTTTTAGGAGTTAGGTGTTTGTCAAGAGCGAGGAACTTGGTCAGCGCCCCACTCACGCATGTCTCCTTGTGCTAGCCGGGAGCGGTCCACGCTGTTATTTCTGTGCATGTTAAGAAGCAAGTCTTGCTCTCATTTCTTTTTCATGAGCGTTTCTAAGGGACACCGTGAGCTATATGAAAACATAGACAGGTATGAGGATGATTAAAACGGAGCACAAGATTTGGAATCATGCACACGTGAGCTTCACCTCCAGTGGTGGGTTCTCGAGGGGGTCTCAGTTCTGGGCCCTTGTTCCTTTCCCTTCGAATCAGGAAAGTAGCAGAATTTACCTGGCAGGGCTCTTGTGTAAGCTTCTTAGCAGGATGGCAGTACAGAGGGATGGTCGCAGGAGGGTGGGGGGCGTTGCAGGGGGAGGGGTCAGCAGCGGAAGTCATAGCCTCCAGTTCTGGGACGAGAGCCTCGTGTGCCTGTCGTGGTAGTTTGGGGGGGCGGGACCGAGGGGACGGTCAGCGCGGCTGCTCCGACTCGGGGATTCCAGGGGACCAGGGCCAGCCCACAGTAGAGCCTTGTCTTGCAGACTGACCACTTCAAGAACTTTCATCATGAAAAGCTGGACCAAATCAGCCAGCAGCTTATCTGCGCCAAGAAGCTGCTTGAGGATATCGACGAGGCCCGGTACCAGTGTCTGAAGGAGCTTTCCCTGAGGAAAGGGTTCATCAGCTGGGTCCGGGAGGCCCTGGGAGGTACAGTCCATCGTTGGGGTTGCGGGAGTCTGGAGGGTGTTCAGACGGCGCTCAGGGTGGTTTCCTGGCAGTCCCTCGCTCCTGTTGCCTGCGTGCTGGGTGAAGAAAGGACATGCCGTCTGCTTCCTTTTTTTTTTTTTTTAAACTTTATTGGGGAACAGTGTGGTTTTCCCAGGACCCATAAGCTCGAAGTCAAGTTGTTCTCCTTCAGTTTTAGTTGTGGAAGGCGCAGCTCAGCTCCAAGTCCAGTTGCTGTTTTCGATCTAGTTGTCAGGGGTGCAGCCCACCATCCCACGTGGGAGTCGAGCCGGCAACCCTGCTGTTAAGGGCACGCGCTTTCACCAGCTGAGCCATCGGGCCGCCCTTGTCTGCGTTCTTTAGGTCCGAGTGTAGTGTGTGCTTCGACTGTTGGTAGCATTTACATCAGGACAGTATTTCTCATGCTCTGGTGTAAAAACTGTTTCCTTGGCTGCCGGCCCCCCCAACGCTGAATGCTTGCTGTGAACAGCTGGGGATCATTTTCTTAAAAATGTCTCCCCCTCTGGCTTTTCCCCCTGTTGATTTTTCCTAGAGGCCAAGGCAGGCTGTAGCCCACGGGATATTTTATTACAACATCCTTGCTGGTGCCTTGCGTTCCTTTCCCAATAGGAGGCTTGGCAGCCTTGGTAGCTGTGTGGCTCAGGTGCCTTTGGCAGAGTTAATGCGTAGAGGAGAGAAGGAGAGGTGAGGAGGCAGGAGGAGGGCCGGTGGGGGCAGGGCAGCGCTGGGCAGCCGCAGGTGTGGGCGAGGGCCCGCCCTGTCCCCTGCTCACGCCGAGCCTCCCTGCCCTCCGCTGTGGGACCTGGTCCACATGGACGCTCATCCTTTGGTTAGTAGGTAGCCTAGAGATTGTCTGTTTTTTTATAGTAACTGTCAACATAGTACTGCTAACAAGCAAGCGCTCGCTGCCGGACAGGCATAGGAGCCAACGCCATGACATCTGCTTTTGAGAAAAGAAAGTTTTATTGTGAGGACGACCTGCAAGGAGAGAGGAGGCAGGGCTCAAACCTGTCTCCCGGATCCGGGGTTCGGCTTTAAGGGGTTTCAGCACCGGGTCTTCCTGGACAGCAGACCCTGCACTCCTGAAAGGGTCCCAGTGTTCAGGTTCCCCTCATGTTCCGGTCCTGTGGCTCATAAGTGTCCCTTGTGCGTGGTGTGTCCCAGATTTAAACTTCGGTTCTGGATCTTGTTAGGAAAGGGATCAGCCCCGTTTGAGCTGGTTTTCTGTGGTTACAGTACTTACCAGCTGAGCCTGTTTCTTTTTGTATAAGACGGTGACAATTAGTGGATTAAATGGAGTCAGGCTCACGAAAGCCTCGTGTGGCACCTGGACAGTACTGCTGTTCAGTGAGGTCAGGTAGTGAGTGGTCCATGGTGTTCAAATAATCAGGAGAAGAAAAGGTGCCCGGATTCTTACTGAAAGCAGAGAGTGGATAAAGCCCCCCAAAATCCACTGACTGTCCATTCAGGGCTCCCGTCAGGATCCTTGTCCCAGGTTTGAGTCTCACGTTGTCGTGGAGTAGTCCACGCGCGCCTGTCTCTTCTCCCCAAGGCATCAACGAGCTGAAAGTCTTTGTGGACCTGGCCTCCATCTCTGCGGGGGAGAACGACATCGACGTGGACCGGGTGGCCTGCTTCCATGATGCTGTGCAGGGCTACGCGTCTCTGCTGTATAAGCTGGACACAAGTGCAGGTTTCCCTGAGTTCATGGACCATCTGAAAGAACTGTGGAAGGCTCTGGAAAACGACCAGCACCTGCCCAGGAAACTGGTAAGCCTCACTTCGGGCTCCACAGCAGATTAAGTACAACAAAGCATTGCTTGGCAGCACCAGGGGCACGGACTGGGCAATGATCACACACGCACGTGGGAGGTTTTCACGCAGATGTTGAAAAGGATGTGAAAAAACAGTTTTTTTTCATCTGTGGAAATGCTTTCTCTACCTTGTATGTTAGCAAGTCGGATACAAAATTGCATGTAAGAGTAATTTCTGTTGTACTATGGAAAACGCAATAAAATTAGACTGAAAGGAAATATGCTAAAGTGTTGAATGGTGGTCGTTGTTACTTAATTCTGTATACTTTTTGATATTTTCCACAATTGGGATCAATTAATTTTTTATCAGAAAATAAAGAAGCATTTCGGTTTAAGTGGACGGTCTTCACCAGGGTCCAAGTAGACTCCTATTCCGTAACTTGCATGAGGCGCAGACATGTCCCTAGGACGGCTGGACCTGCGTGAGGGGTTGGGAGAGAGAGAGCAGTGGACTGAGCACATGGGCTTCATTTTCTGTGCCGAAAGCACGCGACCAAACAGAAAGCCTTTGTTGTAGTTTTTCCTTAATTCTCTGGTTGGACTGGGGGGACCCCAAAGGACATTTAGAACAGAGGCTCCAGCCCTGTTATGTCTGGCCCTCCCCTCCCCCCACCCCCACACACCTGGGAATGCAGCAGACTGATGCCTTTGCACAGAGAGCTGTCTTTGTGGCTGTCCACTCTGTCCATGTGTCCACAAGTAGAAGCTGGTGCCCTCCACGTGCTACCATGGGGACACGGGAAAACGGCAACACTGCGTCACAGGTGTCCCAAGATTGATAGCCAAAGCACACAGTGTTGTGGGCAGTGGACAAGGAAGGCCTCCCCTGCGGGGTGACCACAAACGTCCCCAAGAAGGGACGAGGCGTTTGCCCCTGGAAGGCGGAGGTGGGGAGAGGACAAAAGAGAGAAGTTGATTGCTGTTTCTCTCCCTCTGTCCCAACAGTGTGACTCCGCCAGGAACTTGGAGTGGCTGAAAACAGTGAAGGAGAGTCACGGGTCCGTGGAGCTCTCGTCACTGTCGCTGGCCACTGCCATCAACAACAGGGGCATCTACATGATCAAGGCTCCTGCGGACGGCCAGGTGAGCTGCCCACACCCGGCACAGCTGGCCTGGTGCGGACAGGCTGCTGCAAATGGGGGAGGGGTTTGTTTCTCCCTGCAGAAAAACGACCCCTAAATGTGCACTGTTCCCCAGATTTCCCCAGACAGGGTTCTACGTTTAATCCTCTCTGAGAGCCATGGGAACGGGGAGGACATGCGAGACTTCTCCTTGGAGGAGCTGAAGGAGCTTTTGAACAAATTGATGCTCATGTCTGGAAAGAAGGACCACAACAGCGCTGAGGTGGAGAAATTCTCCGAGGTGAGCGCTCGCATGTGTGCCGGAGCTCGGCGGGCGGAGCCTCTGCTCCGAGCCGGCCGGGGCCGCCCAGCTGAGTGGCCTGAGGAAAGTAAGAAGGGCCTGAGTTTGCAATGGATTGCTGGGGATCGCCGTGCTCTGAAATCCTTGGAGCATGGAGCCCCAGTGGGTCTGAAGGGTGTTTGTCGTCCCGATCCACAACCCAAAGACACGCCTGTGCTATGACGGGCCCTTTGCTTAGTAGCTCCTTCTTGGGACCCTTGGACTGAATTGTCAGTGAGCCCGCTCCACTGAAGAGGGGACAAGCTGGGGGGTTCTTAGAAAGAAGTGGAAGTTGCTGACTTACTCTGTAAATCCGCACGGATCACAAACTACATCCCCAACCTGTGGGTGGGCGTCCTTCACCTAAATAGAAAGTAACCACGTTGGTAAGGCGTCTCGGTTTATGTCACAGTCTCTCCATTTTGTTACGTTTTTCCTGTGAAGTTCATGGGTGATTTTGCTAGGGAGCTGCCTTTTTTTTTTAAAGATTTTTATTGGGGAATTGGGGGAAGGGGAACAGACAAGTTGCTGTCCTTTGGTTCTTCAGTCTAGTTATGGAGGACATTGCTTCACTGGCCCAAGTTGGCACCATCATTGCGCTCTTCCCGGGCGAGGCAGATCAGTTGCCGACTTCTGGACGGCCACTGACGGCGGCTGCTGGCCGCTCACGCCGGCTGCCGGCTCCAAGTTGAGCTGTTGTTCAGCATCTTAGCTGTAGAGGGCAGTGTCACTGGCCCTCATGTGGGATCCAAACCGGGGCCCTGCTGCTCAGAGCTGGCGTCCCAAGTGAATTCTTAACCAACGCGCCACTTGGCCGGCCCTCTCGGGAGCCTTGATCTTGACAAGTTCTGGCCTTCATAAGGGAGAGGTCACGTAAATGAGGAAGGGCGGCCTCTGGGATCAGTGTCCCGTGCTCTGGGTCATACTTGAGCCCAGGGCCTTCAGACTCTCCATCTGTCTCTGTTCCCTTCTCTCTCTGATGCCGGCCACTGGCTTCCATTCCCAACAGGTGTTCTGCAACGTGCAGAGGCTCGTGCAGTCCTTCATCAACCTTCACTCCGCTGGCAACATGCTGTTCCGGGCCTGGACGGCCGAGGTGTACTGCTCCCCACGGATGTCCGTCTCCATCCGCATGGACTTCGGCTTGGGCCTGCTGAGCCAGATCACAGGCAGCGGGCCGGTGGCCCAGCTGCTGGAGGCCCTGTGCAAGCTGATGGAGGACTTCCTGGGCCAGTGGCAGGAGTTTATGGCCCAGAAACGTACTGAGCACTTTTACCTCAACTACTACACGGCCGAGCAGCTGGTTTACTTGAGCTCGCAGCTCAGGAGCCAGCCGCCCAGTGACGCTGCACTCACCATGCTGTCCTTTGTCAAGCGTAACTGCACCCATCAGGATGTCTCGGAGGCCTGCAGGAAGCTTGATGGCAGGGCCGCTGGGTACCAGGAGAGGACAGTGATGGAGGAACTGCCGCTGGTGCTCTACTGTGAGTCCAGCCTGGTGGACAAGCTGAAAGTCATCCTGGAGCAGTCCATCGTGTGCATGAGTGCCTTCCTGCCTCACTGCCTGGACCTGGACGCCCTCGGCCGCTGTCTGGCTCACCTAGCCAGGACGGCCTGGCCTCCCGTGGTGCGGCAGCTTCCCAACGGCATGAAGGTCGGCCAGCCCAACCTTGTCCTCTGCGGCCCCTCAGAGGTGCTGCAGGCCGCCCTGGCCATCTACCTGCAGTCCTCGGAGCAGCCCCTGCCCACCTACGACGAGGTGCTGCTGTGCACCCCGGGAACCACATTCGAGGAAGTGGCTCTGCTCCTGCGCCGCTGCCTGACCCCGGGCTCCCGGAGCCAAAGGCTCTACAGCCTGCTGTACGCAGACCAGCTGAGCTACGAGGTGGCCTGCCAGGCGGAGGCGCTCTTCCGGAGCCTGTGCACACAGCGTCACTACGAGAAATACCAGCTCGTCATGGTCTGTGACTGCGAGCGGGAGCACTGCTACCTGCCCTCGGCCTTCAGCCAGCACAAAGTCCCCTTCACCCCTCAGGCGCCCCTCAAGGACGTGCAGGCCTACCTGGCACAACATTTCCAAATCCCAAAGCAGACCCAGTCAGCCGCTGCCGTGTTCAGAGACCGGATGTGTGTTGGGATCGTGGCCTCGGAGAGAGCAGGCGTTGGTAATGATAGCTGCTGAAGTGGATGGGTCTCACCTGTCCCCGGGACCACCTGATAACCCTTCCCTGTCCCATGGGGCTGGCGGGTGACTCACATGAAGCCCTTTGGCAAGTGGGGTAACTGAGCCTCAGGGAGGCGTGGCTCACCTGAAGTTGCAGATCAGGGTGCGTGCCGAACCGGATGCCGTCCCCTGTGGCAGCTGAGACGGTTCCTGGGAGCCGCCCCACCTTCCTGCTCTAAACGAGCTTCTCTCGCTTCTCTATTTTTTAACTCACGGGCCTCTTCGGGGATGACATGGGTCGAGACAGCAGGAGGAAGTGTAACTGCTCTGTCTTGAGAAGAAACAAATGCCTCCTGACCGTCCCTCTGTTCCCCATGATTTCACTCTGTTGCCTTCTGTCGGGAGGCGTGCTGTGTCGTACTTCTCCCTTATACACAGATGGCGTCGCTGGTCCCAGGGAGTCAGCTGGGACATTTAAGGGTTCCTTAATCCCTTGTTATGTTGCATTGGTTTTAAATTTTGCACAAAGAGAAGTGACTTTGTCTTCCTGGACTGTCTTGCTCTTGGGCCCCGGCCCTGGCACCTAATTTCCATATTTTAACGTTGCAGGAAAGTCTCTGTTTGTGAAGAGATTGCATGAAACTCTGCAAAGGCAGTTCAAGGGGAAAGAAGCACCTCTAAAAATTATTCGACTGATCGACCCCCAGGTGGATGAGAGCCAAGTCCTGGACTCCCTCCTGCCTTTCCTGAACGCCACGTATCAGGCAACACCTATGATCTTCCACTTCGACGTGACCTCTTCAGTAAGTGCCCAAGGGTTCCAGCTGAGTGGCCCCGCCAGAAGTGACACCACTTCCTTGTCCCGCCCTGCCTCCTCCCTAGTCTAAAGAATTTCTTTATGATGGATTGGTGTTCAGGCTTGGCATCAAAGAACAGAATAAGGTCCGTGGGGTTGGGAGAACGGGTCATCTTTGGTGTATTTACGAGCCTATGCGATTCCGTCTTTAGGTGCAGACAGGAGTTTGGGCGTTTCTTTTCAAGCTCCTCATTCTACAGTACTTAATGGATGTAAACGGGAAGATGTGGCTTCGGAACCCACGCCATTTATATGTCATTGAAATCCTGCAAAGGGAGTCGGCGCTGCCTAAGAGGTCTTCAAAGCTGGTGCGTACCGCAGTGTACTTTCCTGTCAGTGGGGGTGGGGTCTTTGATACATTTTTGTGATCCCCTACTTTTGCCCTAGCAAAGCAGCTGAGTGCAGGGTTAGTCAAGGAAAATCAACCTTGAAACTTCTTTTTTTAAATGTCTGGAATAAGAATACTCTTTGGTTAATTAGCAGTATCTTAAATCGGTCAGTGAGGGCAGCAAATTTATCTGCTGAGAGAAGCACTGCCTTTCTAAATGCCAACTAGGGTGGGAAGGAGACTTTCATCATATAGATTTCTTAACGAGGGAGTTTTATGCGTACACACACCATGATTGAGAGATTTAGATTCAGAAGTCAGTTAGAAAAGGACTTCCATGCTGGGAACACAGGCCCCACTGCACTTGATTGTGCAAATGACAGCAACCTGTGCAGAAAGGATTCTACAGAAACCGCTTTAAGAAAACTTTTTTTTTTTCCCATGGAGGCCTGTCCAGTGTAGAACTCAGGGAGGATTAAAACACAAAAGCATTTTTTAGGAAATTCAGTCATAACCATTTTATTCATCTCTCCCCTTTCCAGAGGATACGGGCCCCCCAGTTCAATTTTCTTGACATCTTCCCAAAAGTCACCTGTAGGCCTCCCAAGGAAGTGATGGATGTGCTGCTGAACGCTGAGCCGAACTACGAAGAGCCGGGAATGGATGTGGGCGAGTTCTGCAGTGAGACTTTCCAAAGACCGTACCAGTACTTAAAACGGTTCTTTGAGAAACAAAACCTGGACACATTCCAGTACGAAGGCCAGGTGGAAGGCACCCCCAGTGAATGCCTCCAGCACCTCCTGATTTACTGTGGGGTGATGAACCCATCCTGGTCTGAGCTTTGGAACTTCGCTCAGTTCCTGAACTATCAGCTCAGAGACTGTGAGGCCTCTCTCTTCTGCAATCCACAGATCGTGGGTGACACTCTGAGGGGCTTCAAGAACTTTGTGGTGACCTTTATGATCTTCATGGCGAGAGACTTCGCCACGCCAACGCTTCACACGTCCGACCAAAGCCCCGGGAAGCACTCGGTCCCTATGGACGGAGTCAAAGAGGAAGACATAGCCCCTTTCTCTCTCCGGAAGCGCTGGGAGTCAGAGCCCCACCCGTACGTGTTCTTCAATGATGACCACACATCCATGACATTCATAGGCTTCCACTTGCGGCCCAACGAGAACGGCGGTGTCGACGCAATCGATCACTTGAGTCAGGAGGTGATCAAGGAGGACGTCATGACGATGGAGCTGTACCAGGGGCTGTTGCTTCAGAGGGTGCCCTTCAATGTCGACTTTGACAAGCTGCCCAGACATGAGAAACTTGAGAGACTCTGCCTGGCGTTAGGGATCCAGTGGCCCATTGACCCTGATGAAACCTATGAGCTGACGACAGACAATATGCTTAAGATCCTTGCCATTGAGATGCGTTTCCGGTGCGGGATCCCCGTTATCATCATGGGGGAAACCGGCTGTGGGAAGACCAGGCTCATTAAGTTCCTGAGTGACCTCCGGCGCAGCGGGGCTGAGGCTGAAACCATGAGGCTGGTCAAGGTCCACGGGGGCACGACCGCTGACACGATCTACTCCAAAGTCAAGGAGGCAGAAGCCCTTGCCATCTTGAACAAGAGCGAGTGTCAGTTGGACACCGTCTTGTTCTTCGATGAGGCCAACACAACGGAAGCCATAAGCTGCATCAAAGAAGTTCTATGTGATCGCACAGTGTGCGGCCAGCGGCTGGCTGAGGACTCCGGCTTGCACGTCATTGCAGCCTGCAACCCTTATCGGAAGCACTCTCAGCAGATGATCTCACGGCTGGAGGCGGCTGGCTTGGGCTACAGGGTGAGTGCGGAGGACACAGCAGACAGGCTGGGCTCCATCCCCCTGAGGCAGCTGGTGTACCGGGTGCACGCCCTGCCGCCGAGCCTTATTCCGCTGGTGTGGGACTTCGGGCAGCTGAACGACACCGCGGAGAAGCTCTATATCCAGCAGATCGTCCAGAGACTGGTGGACTCCAGCCGGATCAATCCGGACGAGACTTGTGTGATCACAGAAGTGCTTTCTGCCTCTCAGGGTTTCATGAGGAAAACAGAGAATGAGTGCAGCTTTGTCAGCCTCCGGGACGTGGAGCGCTGTGTGAAAGTCTTCCGGTGGTGTTACGACCACAGCGAGATGCTCTTGTCGAAGCTCGATTCCTTTCTGCGTGAGTCCGGCATCAGCACAAACAACTTTGAGAGAGACCCCGTCCTCTGGTCGCTGGTGCTGGCCGTCGGGGTGTGTTACCACGCCTCTTTGGAAAGCAAGGAATCGTATCGGAAAGCCATTTGCAGGTTCTTCCCGGAGCCGTATGACGACAGCAAGGTGGTGCTGGACGAGATCACGTTAGCACAGGATCTTTTTCTGAGCGGTGTCCCTCTGAGGAAAACCATCGCCAGGAACTTGGCTTTGAAGGAGAACGTCTTCATGATGGTGATCTGCATCGAGCTTAAGATTCCTCTCTTCCTGGTGGGCAAGCCCGGCAGCTCCAAGTCTCTGGCCAAGACCATCGTGGCCGACGCCATGCAAGGCCAGGCCGCTCACTCGGACCTCTTCCGGACCCTGAAGCAGGTCCACCTGGTGTCCTTCCAGTGCAGCCCGCACTCCACCCCGCAGGGCATCATTGGCACCTTCAAGCAGTGTGCCCGCTTCCAGCAGGGGAAGGACCTGCAGCAGTATGTGTCTGTGGTCGTCTTGGACGAGGTGGGACTGGCTGAGGACTCACCCAAGATGCCCCTGAAGACCCTGCACCCCCTGCTGGAGGATGGGTGCATCGAAGATGACCCTGCCCCCCACAACAAAGTGGGCTTCATCGGCATCTCCAACTGGGCTCTGGACCCTGCCAAGATGAACCGCGGCATCGCCGTGTCCCGCGGCAGCCCCAACGAGAAGGAGCTTGTGGACAGCGCCAGGGGCATTTGTTCTTCAGAGCCCCTCGTCCAAGAAAGAATCAAGGGCTACTTCAAGCCCTTCGCCGAAGCCTATGAAATGGTGTGTAGGAAGCAGGACAAGGAATTCTTTGGGCTTCGCGACTACTATAGCCTCATCAAAATGGTCCTCACCGCCGCCAAAGCTTCTAGGGAGCCCTCCCCGCAGGACATCGCTCAGGCCATCCTCCGGAACTTCAGCGGCAAAGACGACATCGATGCCCTGGACATTTTTGCGGCCAGGCTGCCTGAGGTGAGGCAGTCAGAGGAAGTCAGCACCATGGAGCTGATCCGGCATAACGTGTTCGGGGACCGTCGGAAGCAGTTGGGCCGAGAGCTGGACGACTCCGAGTGCCGCTACCTACTTGTGCTGACCAGGAACTACGTGGCCCTGCAGATCCTGCAGCAGACACTCTTCAGGGACGGCCAGCAGCCCGAGATCATTTTTGGGTCCAGCTTTCCCAGGGACCAGGAGTACACGCAGATCTGCAGAAACATCAACCGAGTGAAGATCTGCATGGAGACCGGCAAGATGGTGGTGCTGCTGAACCTGCAGAACCTGTACGAGAGCCTGTATGACGCCCTCAACCAGTACTATGTGTACCTGGGCGGCCAGAAGTACGTGGACCTCGGCCTGGGCACCCACCGGGTCAAGTGTCGGGTTCACCCCGACTTCCGCCTGGTCGTCATTGAGGAAAAGGATGTCGTCTACAAGCACTTCCCCGTCCCCCTCATCAACCGGCTGGAGAAGCACTACCTGGACATCAACACCGTCCTGGAGACGTGGCAGAAGAACATCGTGGAGGAGCTCAAAGTCTGGGTGGACAAGTTCATAGACACGAAAACGGACCCGTTTGCGGCCAGACAGAAATACAGCCCTTCCGACGCCTTCATCGGCTACCACGCCGACACCTGTGCCTCAGTGGTGCTCCAGGTCATCGAGCGTCTCAACCCTGGGATCTTGACTGATGACCTGTACCAGCGGGTCCTGGAGGAGGCCAAGCTGGTCCTGCTGGGCTGCGCCACACCTGACGCCGTGGTCCGGCTGAGCACGTCCTCGCTGAGCCAGTTCGCAGCACAGTCGCTGTCCAGAGAATACTACTACCGGCAGCAGCATGACTGCTTCGCGGACTTCCTGCAGGCTCACCTGCTCACGACGGGTCCGGAGCACCGTGCTGTCTTCACAGAGGTGAACGCCTCCAGACACCCTTACCTTTAGTCGCTGTCACCCCAGACAGAGTCCTTGACCCCTAGTGTCACCAAGTCAAGACTCTTCCCGAGTCAGTGGCTAGGAATCATAAAGGGACATGTGTTAAGAGATGGCAGATGGTGAAGTGTGGGTGGGATGGTAGAGAGGGCCCAGCTTGACCAACGGCGTCACGGTGTGAGTCAGCACCGTCGGTGCGGGGAGTCAGGGCTGGGTCACTGATGGAACTGAACGCTCCAGACTGAGTGCCGAGAGACGGGGTGAGACAGTCGGGGGGGCCTTGTCTGTGGCCCCAGGAGCTCAGGCCTCCCTGTGCAGAGGGCAGTGACGGAGGGATGTGTGTGGACGTGTGTCCCCCTGCCTGGGATGTGGGGAAAAAAGTCAGATAAAATACTGTCACAGGAAAGATAGACCAGCACAGAGGCTGCTGTTAGCACTGAGAGCCGAGGAGGTCGGACGGCGAGCTGAGGAAGGGGGAGCAGCTGCACAGAGCGAGGGACTGCCCGCGTCGGGGCTGCGGGGCAGGGGCGAGCCCCCGGGTTTCTTAGGAGGCCGGCGGTTCCGTCAGTCACAGCACAGAGTCCTGGGACGAGCAGCAGGTTCGGGGAGGAAGTGGTAAATCCCATTTGGGAGAGGCTCTGGTGCCCCTCTGATGCCCTGGCACACACGTCTGTCATGCAGTGGACACTGGAACCGGGAGCTCAGTGGTGGCTGCCAGGCTGGAGAAGGGGCTCGGCGGCCACGAGATGGCGTGCCCTTCAGGAGTGTTTTGGTTGCATTGTGTGGTGTGACCCGGGGTGGGGGAGAATCGCCACCGGCCGCAGGAAGGAAGGGCATCATCGCCTAACCCCATCGGAAAGCGTGATGTGAGGTTGCCAGGGGAGAAGCAGCGTGTGTGCTGAACCCTGAGGGGTCGTCAGAATTTCCAGTGGGGACCAAAGCGGGAAGAGGCACTGGCGCCTGGGAAGGGGACCTAGTGCATCATAGGGATCAATGCATAGGCATCCAATCAATGCCTTTTGATCGCTCTGCCTCGTTTTTCAAAGCTCTGAGCTTGGAGTCCTTCCTGTGTGCCAGCCAGCTGCACAATGGTTAGCCTGTAGAAGGGGCTCGCTATACAACCGTCATGTTCCTGGGATGCACGCCTAGCGGACGTGCGACTTCCCCTGAGTCCTAGTCACTGATTTGTGTTTCCTGACTGCAGATCACCACCTTCTCCAGACTGCTCACCAGTCACGACTGTAAGATGCTGGCCGCGGAAATCAAGGGCAGGGCCCCGAAGCCTACACTCCTGTCACTGCAGCAGTTTGACACCGAGTATTCGTTCCTCAGAGAAGTCCGGTGAGGCCCCCGGCCGCCCCTCCGCTCCCCTTCACCCCCGGCCCTGACCACGGATTTCATTGTATGTCTGTTGTAACCACTGGTGTTGTCACCAGCCTGGGTTAATAATGGGCGTCAAGGACATGTGACTCCGAAAAGGACCGTTGTGAACTTCTCCGGTTGTCGCTCAGTGCTGTTACCTTCTCCGTAAACGTCCTTCTCTGAAACCTGGTCTCTTTAGGAAGCATCTACTGGTGTTTATTCCTTCTCCGCTGGATTTCCTACTCACCTGTGCAGGAGAACCCCGCCTGCACCGTTCTTTCCACGTAGCCCGTGTAGTTCCCATCACTCCGGGGGACTGGGTCACCCATTTGTTTGGATGGAGAACTCATCTTCATGATTGCCTTTTCTTTCAGAAAGTGCTTGACTAACACGGCCACGTGTAAAATCCTCATTGTTCAAACTGATTTTGAAGACGGAGTTCATAGCGCTCAGCTCATCGCCTCAGCTAAGTATGTCCTTGTTATTTTTCTCAGAAAGCACATGGGAAACCCAAAATTTTAGGGGGGAGCTCCAAAAGAATTTCTTCCCTGAGAACAGACTAGTATCGTAATAAACACAGAAGTAGAAATGATTCACCCTTTTCATTCCCTGAAATGGGGGCTAGAGAGGCTACAGAAAAAGCAGAGGGGGAAGGCTACTGCCACAGTGGTGGAAGGTAAGACGTGTGAGTGATCCAATATGAGCAGGAAACAAAAGACTACCCTTGAAACGTGTTTGTAGACATATTTCAGTAATCATTAATTTTTTAAATGACGTGATTTGAATCTATTGCAAAGTTCAAGGGCTGTAACAGTATGTAAATGATTTCATTTGTATTTATTGGACAGTTTTCTAGTGTTTATAGGGGGCACCTGATGCTTGCATAACTGACTATGTTCCCTCGTTGGCCCCGGGTTGTTCTCAGAACCCTGTGTCCTGACATGGGCGGTTCCACTGGCCTTGCGCTTAGTAGGACTAAGGCAGGCCCACCGAGGATCCCAAGTTAAGGTTTCTGATCAATAAGAAATGCCGCTTCAAAGCGGAGGCAGACAGGAATGGGAAGAAAATAAGCCCAGCGAGAGACCACGCGGCCCCACTCCCACGGGGAGGCCGTCGCGAGGCTGGGACGTTTGTGTAAAACCACAGAAAGTGAGACCCTGAGATGGAACGTGACAGCTCCTAGGACACCCTTCAGCCCCTTCCCAGCTTGCGCCTTGCTGATTTGCTTGGTTTTTGCTTTGATTTGTTTCAGTTTTGCTTGTTGGTTTGTTTTAAAAATAGGTATTCTGCTATAAATGAAATCAACAAGATACAAGGAAATAAGGACTGTATCTTCATCTATTTCATCACAAAACTGTCCCGGATGGAAAGTGGGATGTCCTACGTGGGGTTCAATGGAGGTAGGGCCAAGCTGTTAATGAATGTGGTTATTTAAATATCGTTTGAGTTATTTCTAATTTGGTCCTAGGGTGTACAAGGCTAAAATTAGAATATTAATATTAATCTCAACGACACTTGTTTCAGATGCAGTTAGAAATTCCTACCTGATTATGGCAAAAAAACACTCAGCTTTCAATTTGCTGCTCCAACATGCAGCATTTTCTTTAGAAACTTGTGGATGAACACTTGAGTAGCCTCTGATTCCTCACCTTCTGTGATGTGGGTAACGCAGAGAAGACATTCCCGACTAACACTTGATAAACGCCTGATACTTAATACATTTCAGGATGAGGGGATGCTATCTCAAATCAGGCTCGCTCGCTTTTCCCCCCGAACCCCTCTCCCTCTCTTTCTCTTCTGAGGAATGGCTTACCAAATACATATTATGTAAGGAAGTTGGTATTCTGGAAATAGGCAAATAACGGTTTACTTGAATATAATTTCATAGATACTGGGAGGCAAACCTTGCCCGCGCCCCATGGCTCTTTATTAATTATGACACAGCAAGCAGAATAAGAGATACATAAAAGGGCCACGGGCCTTCTTCAAGGAATCTGTGCAAATCATCTGTGTCAGTTCATAAAACGGACTTTTATGGGAAAATTGCTGACACACGAGTCAGGTGGCTTCTACGTATATTCAAGGGTTTAGACGCCAGGGTCCAGATGGCTCCCTCGGTGACAGTGTTCTCCACACCGGGACGTGTGGTGTGTCATTGCCTGTGATAAGAGACACGGGCCGATGCTGGGTGGCTTTGCTCCCCACAGGGCTGTGGCAGTCTGTGCACATCGACGACCTCCGGAGATCCACCGTCATGGTTTCAGATGTGACGAAGCTGCAGGAAGTGGCCATCAGCCAGCTGTTTCATCCAGACGACACACCTGAGCGTAAGCCTCGAGGAAAAGCCTTTGGGGACGCAGGATGGCAGGAGTGGCAGCCGGGCGGAGCCAGGCGCTGTGAGAACAGGGCCACCATGCTTCTGTGCATCAGCTTTCAGTCCTTGTACCTGCCCCTCAGCTGCAGCTCGGCACGTGTTTGCTGAGCTGCGGCTCCCAGGGCCCCCCGCCCCCCGCCACTGCTCTCCACAGCCATGCAGATGGTAGTACGTCCACCTGATGAAAAAGTGGGTCTGGAGGTGCATAAGCCTGTGGGTGCATAAGCCTGTGGGTGCATAAGCCTGTGGCACGTGTCAGCTTCTGTTGGCCTCGGTTCCTGCATCGGCTGTCAGAGCCCAGGATGGATATAAGGGGCTGACGCTGGAGGACCCCCTGAGTGGGCGACGGGGAGGCTGACCCACATGCCCGTGGCCTCTCCTTGGGGCCCCACTAGAGTGAGGTGCCAGGGACGCCTGCTGCTCAGTGCCCGGCACACAGCTCATGGACAGTGTTGCCAGCATCCTGATCTGTCTTCCCAGCGGTAACTTGACGGTGTTGCTTCTGTTGCAGCCGAGGGGAGACCTGGGGACGACAGCAGCCATGAGGAGGTGATGGAAACAGAGGCTGAAGAACCAGGGGAACCGCCCGAGGTGGACATGGAAACGGAGAGCTCTGAGACGATGGAAAGCGAGGCCTCTCGGCCGGGGAGAAGCTATGTGAGTTCCAGCTCTTTCTCGTCCCTTGGGCCTCCCGGGACACTGCTGGGCCGTCTCCGGAGCCTCATGCCTGCCCCCCCAGGAGCCCGGGGAGCAGACACAGTCATACAGGGGGCAGCCTGGCACCTTTTGCCTCCACACTGCGAGTGTAGATGAATTACCAGGACACGGCCTCACAGGCTTTTCCTGCTGCCTCCTGGTCAGTCTTGCTCTGTTCCTGGACCCCTGCCTGAGGCCCCGAGCGCACACGACCGCCTCGCAGTGGCTCTGAGAGGAGTCGTGCAAGTGGACGGTGGTGCAGGCCCCGGGGGGAGCTTTTCCCGGTGGTGCCCTGCTCCCACCACGGGACCTGTCTCCCACGCGGGTGGCCGACCAGAAACCGGGCTGTCTCTCTGGACAGACGCAGATCCTGGATACCAGCAGCCTGCTGCGCAGCTGCGTGCAGAGCGCCGTGGGCATGCTCCGAGACCAGCACGAGCGGTGTCAGCGCAACGTGCGGAGGGTGGAGCTTCTGCTCGGCCTCTTAACGGAGGAGGACGATTGCAAAGGTGAGGGTCCCCGTGGCCGGTCCCCAGCACAGGCAGATGCCGCGGGCACCTCTGCGCCCGCCTCGAGCTTCGCTCTAGACCTGGCCTGGCCGAAGAAAGGCCGCTTCCCTTCCAGGTGGACGGGGGGGCGTGGCGGGGCCCGCAGCCCGGCCCGTGGTGTCCGTGAACTCATATCCCCCTGCTTTGTTGCAGCCGCTTTCTTACAGGTTGCCAAGATGCGCCTCCACGACCTCTTACAGAAGCAGGAGGAGAGCCACATGCTCAACGTAAAGCAGTGGGTGGTGAGGGAGGCCTCCAACCCAGACGCTCTGCAGGAGGCAGGCACGTTCAGGTACCGTGACCAAAGCCACCTGGAGGGGCTGCCGCGTGGAGCGGTGACAGGCCTCCCGTGCACGTGTCCCCCCGGCCCCGCCGAGGTCAGGGCGCCCGGACCTTTCTTTCTCTGAGCAATTCAAAGCGGCCTTTTTTTCCCCCCCAAAAAAAGTACAAGGCGGTCTGGGTGTCAGTTACGTGGGGGTTTGCAGACTCCTTTCTCTACTTTTGTGCGTGTTTAAGTTTTTTCATAATAACAAAAAGACAAAAAAACTGAAACAAAGTAGAATGTCCGTTCTTCCAGGATGGAACATTTGCCAGCATGTCACAAGCCATAGAGACGGCTGCTGTTTCGGGGATGAGGCTCAGAAGGGAGGGAACAGAAGCTGTCTTCCCGGGGTTTCTGCTCAACTACAGAAATGAGACCCGGGAGAGTCCCTTGTTGCCAGTGGTCCTTTGTGTATATAACCGTGACCCTTTTCTTGGGCCTAACCCGTGCGGCCTGTGTGGCAGGGGGAGGCAGGGGGCTGCCCTGGACCCCAGGTGTGAGAGTCCGCCCGCCCCGCGTTGCAGGCTCACTCAGACCTTTTCATCGCTGCAGCTCGCAGTCTCGCCTCTGACGGTGTCGCTCACCCCTTGGCCCCTTCCAGGCCCAGCATCTTTGACGCCAGCGGACTTGGCTTTGGGCGTCCGGCCCTCGTGCCGTCGGCGGGAGGGCTGGGAAGCACCAGGGCCGAACGGCCAGCGGGAGCTTATCGCTGCCGGGCTGGTTACCGCCTTCGCTTTTCCCTGCACTGTCCTTAGTTTCTCTCCTGATTATACTTCCTGACCAAGGAATTCCGTAAAATCTGATATGAACCGAGGTTTTCATTGCCCCCGTTACTCCTATGGACTTTTCTGAATACTTAGTTTCACATAAATGCTTCTTTAACATCTGTATTTCCAGTCTCCCTGTTCACATCGCCGCTCCAGGGACTCCCCTTCCCGCTTGCCCGATGTGCAGAGGGCTGTGGGCGTCCCGCCTGTCACTGCTCTCTGGTTTGCTGTAGCACTGGGACTGGGCCACCTCACCCCCAGGTCACGGCGACGCCTGAACAGCCTGTGAACCTGGTGTCAGGTGTCAGGTGTCAGGCGTCAGGCGGAGCTCTGGAGCTGGCTGGTCCCTGACCATAGGCCTTGGGGACAAACTGGTCACCAGCCACATGTTTTGGACTAAAGTCCTCTGCCCTCTTGGGATTCAACTGTCCAAATCGTGACAGTCTTTAGACTCAGGTTTTCAGAATTCTCTCCAGGTTCCTAGGTACCATGTACTTCAAAAACTGGAGTATATGTTTTTCTTCTTTTCAAAGTAGACCCTGCATTTTCCCCCAATGTTAATGACCTAGCAGTTTATTTCATAAGCTTTACCACAAGAGTTTTGAAATGAATTATAAGTTATTGTTATGTATAAACAGAATTATAACAAAGTGTCGTGTAGTTAATATAAGCAATCAGATTTATATATGTAAAGACTCAGATCTAGTGTCCAAAACCAGCAACGACAAAAACAGACTTCTGGAGAACCATGCGCTTCCCCACCGTGGTCTCACCTGGGACGGACGCTGCCTCTCTTCCCCGCTGCAGGCACACCCTCTGGAAGCGCGTCCAGGGCGCGGTGACCCCTCTCCTGGCCAGCTTGGTCTCTGTCATCGACAGAGATGGCAACCTAGAGCTGCTGACCACGGCGGACTCGCCGTCCTGGGCAAGAGACCTGTGGATGTTCATTTTCCGCGACATGAAGCTTCTGAACATTCCTCTTGTGGTGAATAACACAAGGTGAATAGAAGGCTTTCTTTTCGTGGGAAGGAAAAACCCTAACGTAGCAGCTGTCTTAATGTGATCCCCCAAGTATGTGATGGGACGTAGGCGCTGAGTTTAGATGCACATGGAAGCTGGCTTTTTGCAGCCAAAGGGTTGTGGCGTCACAGAACAAAGGGGAGCTCCTGGTGCTCTGAGAAGCCTTTGCTTCACCCCGTGCTGTCCTTGTGCCTTCGCTCCCTGAGCACATTGGCCTGACATGGTCTGTGTTGGCCTGGCCTCCCCAGGGACGCTGCCCCAGGACACCTGAGATGGGCGTGCTTCCCTGGCGGGCCCGCTCCCTTCCCGAGCCTTGTGTCAGGCTCAGCTGGCCTCCCCAAAGTGTCCTACTTGGATCTTGGGGGGCTTCGAATCTGGGGTGTACGGTTAATAAAGAATATACGTGTAAGGGGAATTCTGACTCACCGGTGGACACACTTATTTAGAAAACAAGACACTTGCTGGTCATGAGAGACCCGCTCTGACACGCCGTGCTCCGTCCGCACAGGGCAGGGTCCGGTCCAGGCCCCCCCACGACCTGGGCAGCCCACCGGCCCCCTCCCCGCCATGCTCTGTGTTCATTTTGTCTGTAAAACAGAGACATTCCTTTATAACAGAAGCCCTGAGCGGTGAGATGGGCCAGTAGCCTGTCCCCGTGGCCTTCGAAGCGCTCCCCCGACCCCCCCCCCTCTTGTAGGTTGAGACGAATGGCCGTGAGCGGTGGCTTCTGTCTTGCGTCTTGAGTGACACCTCACTAACCATCCCCTTCGTCTCCGTTTGCACGACTGCAGATCCAAAAATGAGGTCTCCTACATCCTGGTGCACCACCACATGGACCTGTCCGAGAACGCCTACAACGACGTCCCTTTCAGCTGGAGGATCAGGGACTACCTGGAAGAGCTGTGGGTCCAGGCGCAGTACATCGCAGGCGCTGAAGGTGAGCCTGGGGACGTGGCGGAGGCATGTTCCCGCAGGAAGAGAGCCCCGTCCCCGTCGTGTGGCGGTCGTTCCCATTCTGGGGCTCCTGGACAGCTGGGGCCCCGGGACCCCAGAGATGTCCTCAGCTGGGCCTTTCTCAGCGACTGTTAGCCACGAGAGGAGAGTATCTTCATCCAAGGTGACTGGCCGTGGTCCTCCCAGGCCACGTGGCACCTTGTTGTGCTGTCACATGCCCAGTAATTTGGTTACTGGTATTCCAGGAAATCCAGCCCTTTGAGGAAACTTATCTTTCTTACGGGAAAAATCTTTTCAAAGTGTACTTAAAGTACTGCCATTAAAAAATACAGGTCAGGACACTTGAACATGAACTTATTTTTCTGTCTAAGCACCCTGCCATGTTTTCTGAGTAAATTCGAAGCAGCCGCTGTCCGGAGGAAAGAGTGTTTCTCTGTTTCAAGGCCAGACCCTAACCCGCCCTGCTCTTCCGTGAAGGGTGCCACCTGGGGCAGCACCCCGTCCCCTGGGAGGGCTCGTCTTCCTGGCGGGAGCAGCATGTGACCGTGACTGTGACCATGACCGTAACGAGCAGCCCAGGCTCTGGTCCTGGGGCCCCCGAAGCACGTTGACTTGACAGACGTAAAACTGGGTCTCTCTCAGAGGGTTTTGTCCCTTTGGGATTAGCTAGGCTGTTTGTGGCCGACACGTATCATCATTTCTGCCTTTGGGTCTGTTAGTCCCCTGGGACAATCTATAGACATGAGTGTGACTTCAGGCCACTGACTCCCCGCTGGGGTGAGCTGAGTTCAGCACAACCTGCCCGCTCTCTCGGTCGGACCTTCACCGCGAGAGGCTGAGGGTCTGGGTGTAAGGCAGGGGCCAGGACTTGCGCTCTTCCCTCAAGCCATTCTTGGGTACCCTCTGCAGGACTGTCCCAGAGGCTCGTGGGCATCTTCCAGCAGACCCCCCTGGGCAAGTTTCTTGCCAAGCTCGGCGTGGGACAGCAGCGGGACCTCCTGCAGCGTTACCTGAAGGACTTCCTCCTCCTGAGCATGAAGGTGTCCACTGGGAAAGAGTTAGCGGTGAGCACCGGCGGGGCAGCGTGAAGCGGGGGCCACGTGGACGGGATGCAAACACAGGACTTGACCCTAACGTCCGAGGCTGGTGCTGTGTCTGTGGAATAGAATGTGGTCTCGGGGCACTGGTGTGTGACGGTGCTGCCACAACCTCAGAAGGCATGGTGCCAGACCCTCAGCCCCCAGCCCGGCCCGGCCCCATAAAACACAGAGCTCTTCATTAACATGACAAAGACCTCAGTTTTCCTGTAACATGTTCTTTTCAAGTGTTTAGTTTCTCTTGGGGAAAATTAGGTAAATATTTAACTGACCGTTACATGGTCACGATAATAAAGGAAATTTCAATGGAAAGAATGAGACTTCTGACTACCGAAAGCTTTCAAACTTAAGTACATAAAAAAGGAATGTGATAAATTTGAGAACATAACCACCAATATGATTAAGGGTTGATAAAGTATCCTCAGGAAGCAATAAGAAAATCCCCTAATTTTAAAAAATGAGTGAAAGTTATAAACCACCTATAAACAGACATGCAGAAAACATTTGTAAACTTGCTCAGCCTCACTAATGAATCAATAAAACATGAACAGTTTTTAGAGACTAGCCTTCCTTACCCCTGTGGCAAAGCTGGTTTTCCTGAGAGGTCAGAAGCGCCTCCGTTACCGATAGCCGTGTGAACGAACACAGAGCTCCTGGAACCGCCAGCCTTTCAACATCTGAACGGGGCATTTTTATCCTGAGAACATGATTGGAGATGTGGACAAATATTTTAGCCACAGCAATTTTCTCTTTAGCTTTGTTTCTAAAAAATAGAACATTAGAAACAATTGAATTGTCCAAAAATAAGGTTTGGACAAATTAGAGTCTGGCCATTTGATGGATGATAATGCAACCATTTAAACACAATGTTTTTCAGGGCCGGCCGAGTGGCTCAGTTGGTTAAGAGCTCGCTCAAGAGTTTGAGCTCTGAGCAACAGCGGTTCGAGTCCCAGCCCAAACTGAGCTGCCGCTGAGCTGCCAACAGGTAGCAGGATGGCTCAGCTAAAAAAAAAATGGTTTTTAAATGTAGAAATAGAGAAAAGTTCATAATGTTATGTGGAAAATAATCAGAAATACACTGTGATGCTAATTTGGGGACAACAGGGAGCAGGGGATGGCACGAAAAAGGAAACCAGGGGCAGGAATAATGTGACTGAGTTTCAATTTTCTTTTTTGTCATTTTTTGAATAGTTCTGATTTTCCATAGGGAAAAATGTGTGTGTGTGTAATTTACGAATAAATGCTGAAAGCTCGGTTTTCACCCAGTTTCTGCAGATGGCTCTGTGGTCCTGCATCAATCAGCTGAGAGCAGGGAGCCCAGAGGAAGAGCCCTGCTTGCCGTGGGTCCACCTTGCCTTCCAGCATTTCCGAGTCCGGCTGCAGAACTTGTCCAGAATATTCACCATCTACCCCCCAGTCCTGGACAGCCTGACCGAAGCCCCACAGAGCCACGGCTTGGCAGGACGTGAGATGGTATGGCTCCTCTGGGGACATTTAGTGCTTACAGCCAGGGCGTGGCCTTGCTTACGTGGGTGGCAGGGTGCTCCCAGGGTGGCCCTGGGAGGGAGAACCTACAGGCCATGCTCCAAAGGGGAGACTTCTTCACGGGGCACGACTCAGAAATGCCGAGAGCACAGCTAACAGTGCTTTCTGTATTCCAAGATGATGAATGTGAGCCTCAGAGTCTGAAACATGAGGACACACAGAGCTAACAGCTGGGGCCCCTAGATTTAGGGTTAGAGCAGCCAAAGGGCGCGGGGCAGGGTGCGCAGCTCAGTCACGGGCCTGCCCTCCATCCTCTCAGACTCTGGATGCGTTGGCTGCAATGGCCTGCACTGAGCTGCTTACGAGGGACCTCCTGAAGCCCAGCCCCCAGGCTTGGTTACAGATTGTCAAGAACCTCTCCATGCCCCTGGAGCTCCTGTGCTCTGACGGGTACCTGCCAGACCACAAGGGCATGGCCGGAGCTGTCACCAGAGAAGTCAGGTGAGACCCCGGAGCCCGGCCCTTGCTGGTCCCTTCCACACACGGTCACCAGTCGCCTGCTGAGTCCTGGGCACATCAGACATCCCTGCCCCAGGAAGGGGCCTTGCCTCATCCATTCCCTTGACATCTGTGGAACCCTCACTAACTGTCAGGCTTCACGTTGATGCTAGAGACGCAGAGAAGAGGCTGCGTTCAGGTAGTGCACAGAGTGACGGGGTGGCAGAAAGAGGCAAGCAGATTCCTGGAGTCGCATGGGAGGAATACTGTGACGGCGGGGCAGGCAGTGGGGGGTAGCATGCCGTCAGCATAGTCGTGGGGTGGGGACAAGGCCTGTGCTGGCCATTAGGGACGGGTGGGCCTCACAGGCACTGGCCACACACGCAACCCGGGTTACCTGGCAGAGAGCGCGTAGAGGCAGGAACTGTGCCCCGAGGGCTCAGACCTGCAATCCTTCTGCCCGACCCTCTGCTCACCTTCCAACCCCGGTGCCTCAGAACTGCCTCGCAGCCCCCTGCCTTGTTCCATCTTAGGCTCGTGCTCACAGCTGAGTGAGTGGCACCCCTCTTTTGACAGAACCAACTGGAATCGCATTTTCTCCATTGCGCTGTTTGTGGAGCATGTGCTCCTGGGGACCAAGAGTGAACTGCCTAAGCTGTGCAAGCTGGTGACTGAGTGTGTCTTCTCACTCAACAAGGTGAGTGCTCCGGCTCGTCTCCAGGACGAAGAAGAGCTGTAGCACAACCTGACACTCATCTTCAAGGTAGCAGTGTGTGCACTTTCAACTCTGACACTTTTACCTAGACGTGCACAGCAATGTGATTTCATCACACGGGCCAACCAAACACGTGTTTAATTGTTCAACTATGTGTGCTAGTTCAGGGCATATCATTTTATAGAAATGACTCAACCTTTGGGAGGGCCCAGGAGGCGGCTGCACCCTGGCGTCTAGTGACCCCAGCCCAGCCCAGCAGCATGGCCTCTGGGGAGCTGGCCAGCCCTGTCATGGTGGGGAAGGTGGTGGTGCAAAGGAAAGCCCCCGTGCTTCTGCCCCCCGATCCCCTTTATAAAGCCAGTGACACACAGGGCAGTGCCCCTGCGGAAAAAGTCACCACCTCTGTGACCATGCTTGCAGCCACAATGGCCACTCAGCAGAAGAGGCCACGCCTCACTTAACCCCGGCACCTAAACCCCAGCGCTTCCAGCAGCATTAGCTGCCCGGCCTTTGTGATGCAGGGCATGCTGCGGGAGGCTGGCATGGGCACGGTGCCAGGCTTCTGCTACGTGACCAAATACCAATGGCAGCAACAAAGTGTCAGCCCGTTCCTCCTTCCTGGAACTCAGCTGCAGCAGTCCAGGCAGCGCACCAGCTCCCCCGGGACAGGCGCCCGAGCTCCTTGGTCTTGTCCCTTTGTCCTGAATACACAACTTCCACCTTGTGGTCTGAGGAGGCTCTTTCTGCTGTCACAGAAAGCCCTGGGACAGAAAGAACAGGCAGCGCGGGGGACACCCATTCCAAGAGCACACGCAGGGCTCGCGCAGCTCAGCGTCCTAGACTTAGTCATGGCCGCAGCTAGCTGCAGAGGCTGCGAACTCTCAAATGGCCTGGGCCCAGCCAGGACTTGGAGGGCTTTTGATAGAAGAAGAAGTGGAGAAAGGACCAGAAAGCAGCCAGCACCTTGCCACCCCGTCCACCACTCAGATAGCCAGGACCACCCTTCCTCCCCCACAGACCACGGGGAGCCGCTCTCCAGGTCTCGCTCTGTTAGGTGACAGTCTTACCAGAAGTTTTGCTGCAGATCAGAAGGGCGCCGACTTTCCAGTCCATAATGTCCCTGTCCTTTCCATCCACTGTCCAACCACTAGGCCACAGCCATTATTTTTTGGGTAAAATATGCACAACATAAAATGGATCATTTAACCACTTTCAGTGTCCAGTTCAGTGGCGTGAAGTACATTCACAGTGTTACACATCCGTCAGACCATCCATCTCCAGGACTCTTTCATCCTCTGTCCCCATTCAACCAGAGCGTCCCGCTCCCCTCCCCCACCCCTGTGACTTCTAATCGACTTCTGTCTAGGAATTGGACTCTCTAGTTTGTCCTTTTGTGACTGCCTTACTACACTTACATAAAGTCTTCAGAGCTCACCTTCACTGCAGCAGGTGTCGGAATGTCCTCCCTTTTTTCAGGCTGAGGAACACTCCACCATGTGGCTGGACCACACTGTGTTCGCCCATCACCCAATGATGGACATTTAGGTTGTTGTCACTTTTTAGTGACTGTGAGTCATGCTTCCATGGACGTTAGTGTACAGCATCTGTTTGCCCTGAATCCCTGCTGTTAACTCTTCGGGGTCTATACCCAGCTCGGAATCGCTGGGTCATACGGTAACTCCGTGTTTAATGTTTTGAGGACTCGCCAGCCTGTTTCCGCAGCGGCTGCCCCGTGTGACACCCCCACCAGCAGTGTGTGAGGGTCCAGTTTCTCCGCATCCCTGCCAATACTTACTCTCTGTGTTTTATAACACGGAGAGTCATGGGTGTGAAGTCGGGGCTCATGGCTGTGACTTGCATTTCCCTAGTGACAGAGGGCACCCTCCCATGTGCTTGCTGCACATTTTTTATCTTCTTTGGAGACGTGTCTATTAAAATCTTTTGTCCACTTCTGAATCGGGTGGCTGATGAAGAAATCGAATTTAGCAGGATATTAAAAACCCATACTGTTTCAAAAGAATATGAATCCTGGGAATTCAAACATAGCTCAAAATCATAAAATCTATAATTGTCATCAGTTACACAACAAATTAAGAGATAAACCCTAAGTGATATTCTCAAAAGGTACAGAGAAGCATTTGATAAAATATATAATTTGGAAAAGAGATACACTTGGCAAACTAGAAATAGAAGGTGACTCTCCTTAAGCTGATAATGCCCAAGGGTGTACATGATATAAAGACATCTCATGCAGACATTACGCCTAAACACAAAATTCCAGAAGCACATCCATTAAGCTATCTTGTATTCTTGAAGGTGTGCATTTCATACCTACCTACCTACCTACCTACCTAAGTATATAGCCTAGAGAAGTTTCCCACTGGTGCCCAAGCAGACACGTGGAAGCGTGTTGGATACAGAATGGTTCATACTTGCAAAACATTGGGGACATTCCGAATGCCCATGAACTGGAGAACAGGTCGCTGGTATATCATCGGCTGGCCCCGGACAGCACTCAGCTGAGTCCTCTGGGCCCACACGCATCAGTGAGCGGAGCAAGTTGCAGACACCCAGAGGCGTCTGTGTGAGATCCTGAGATTCGTCTCAGAAGCACCCAGAATAGGAACAGTGTCCACGCATGCATACAGACTTCTCTCTGGGGAGCGGAGGGGTACACTCGGGGTGCAACCGTTTCCATACCATTTGGTTTCTTCAAGAGACGGTCTAAGCAGATATCCCCAACATGCTAAGATTGCTTAAAGCTTCGGGGTGAACACACAGGTAGTCGTTATATTATCATTTCAAGTTTGAAATCTCTCCTAATGGGAAAAGTGAGGCAGATCTTAAAAGCAGAGGAAGAGGGGAGACCGGAAGCTGAGACGGTCATCCTCTTCCCCAGAGCAGCATGATTACAAAGAGCCTTCCGCGTTCGAGAGCCTGCCACTCGGCCAGCCGCGCCCTGCGAACTGACGCTGCAGCCCTGACGGCCTCTCAGCCGTCGGAGAGCGGAGGGTGCATTTGTTGCCCTGGGGTTACACCCACCTTGCCCGGCTGCCCTGCACCCCCCTCACTGCTAACCACTTCCTGGTCCCGCCTGTCTCCTCCAGTGTCTGCAGGAGAACTCCGACCTCAAGACCTACAGGCCTTTTGCCGCCGTGATGACTACGCTTTGCAAATGCAAGGACCAGGCCAGCAAGACCTTCACCCGGTGAGATCTTTGGTTTGGGGTCCACCAGGGACAGAATTCTGAACCTTTGGTATTTGTAGCGTCTCACCCCAGCCTCTCTGCTTCAGCACTGACCCCCTGCTTCTTGGATCCTAGGTACGGGGTTCAGCCATGCCCCGTCTGCCTGGGAGATGCACAGGACCCTGTCTGCCTGCCCTGTGACCACATGTTCTGCCTGGGCTGCGCCAAAGCCTGGCTCACCACGGGGCAGATGAGGTGCCCCTTATGTTTAACAGACTTGCCAGACGAGTTCTCCCTAGAGGTTTCCCAAGAGAGCAGGTAAACTGCCCTTCCTCTCTCTCTGTCTCTCTCTCTCTCTCTCTTTCTCTCTCTCTCTCTCTCTCTCTCTCTCTTCTTTTTCTTCCCTTTCTTTGCAAATCCAGTATTCCAAAATAAAACTCTGTTAACCTCAGATAACCTGACTGCTGGAACTGTCCTAAGAGAGACGGTCACTTAAGGACCTTCATAAACACCTGGTGTCTCAAAATCACTAGTTCTTTAAGACGTGCACGTGTGTAGACTTGGGGGACAGTGAAATTCGAGGAACTAAATCAGAAAGGCATAAATAAAGCCACCATGAGACACCCAGGGAGTTGTGGACAAGTGGTTTGTCCTTTTGCTCTGTAACTGCCATTCATGTCATAGGACCCAAAAGTGGAGCCAGCTGGGGGCCGGCGAAGTGCTTTTCGGGCTGGTGGGTACAGTGAGCGGGGTCTCCGTGGGCCCCCAAGAAGGGAGTGTGAGCAAGGCACGCCGGGCAGATGGGGCCTTTGACGTTTCTAGGGAGAAAGCGTTGCTGGCTGGTCCCCTCACTGAGCGCCCCTAGAGAGAGGTGTGCTTCCTGCCTGGTGCCCGTCTCAAGACTAGCTCTGATCAGTGGAAGGAGATACCTGCATCTTTTTATTTAAAACAAAATGCTGTCCACATCCCAACGCACGCTGGAAGGAAGGACCGTCTCATGAGCCGTGTTTTTCAACCTTCCCAAGGAACGCCATCAAGAAACACGCCCGCTTCCGACAGATGTGCACGAGTTTCTTCGTGGACCTGGTGTCCACCATGTGCTTCAAAGATAGCTCCCCACCGCAGCAGGACGTGGTCGAGGCCCTGCTGTCTCTACTCTTCATAAAAAAGAAGCTCTTAGATTCTTCCCAGAGTAAGTTGCTTTCTTCTGAGGGACCTACAAATCCAGTTTCTGTCCCTTTTGCACATCAGAGGTGAACCGTGAGCTTCCCTTTCTCATCCTAGTTTCAGGACGCCGTGAACACACCAAGTCCCTGTCCCCGTTTGATGACGTCGTGGATAAGACCCCTGTCATCCGCTCTGTGGTCCTGAAACTGCTCTTGAAGTACAGGTCAGCGTGCTAACGTGGGTGGGGCTTGCTTCCGGGAAGCCCTGGCTTCCGTTCCTCCTCGCCATGGCTTTTTCTTCGCTGTTGAGCGTTCTTTGCCGGACTAGTAGCTAGTTCACAATTTGGGGAGGCTTCTTCAGGGAGAGGTCACCGGCCTTATTTATCTGTGTTGCTTGTGTGTTGGCTGTGCTCTCTCGTAGGCGGATGAGTTCGGCGTAGCCACAAGCTCACTGTTAGGGAGAAGACAGCAGGTGGTAGGGAGGGCAGCTTGGTCCCGGGAGACGGGCGGGACCCCGAGGCAGGAGTGTGCATCCTGACCTCGGCGCCACGGCTCCCGAACTTTATGAGGCTCAGGATGGCGACTGATGTCCCCTAACCCTCGCTGGCCTAGATGGCCTTTGTTTTAGCTCCTAAATGTCTCGGATTCCATAAATGGATAGAGAAGCCCAGATGGTGTCGGGTGATGCTATTTTAGAAAATTCTTAGAAAGCGATCAGTGTTCAGAAGGCTCTTTCAGAAAGCATTTGGTACACGCAGCCTGTGCTGTCTCCACAGGGTGTACTTTGAGGTGTTGGCAAAACCAAGATGCTGCAAGGAAAGTTCTAACAGATACAGCTCTTTCTGACGTGAATGTCCAAATGCAGACGTAGAGATTAGAGTGACATGTCATGTGGGTCTGCTGTGTCCGCGTCCACAGACATGTCATTTTGCTTTTTTTTTCATCATTCATGTTAAGCAGGATTCCTGAAGGATTTTCACATAAGATGCTCTTAAAGTATATTTTATTACAGAACCAGCATCTTACTGTACCTTGAAATGGCTTTTAAGGTATATACGTAAAGGGTTGACTTGAGATCTGAAAAGAACCTATTTTGATGTTATGTAATTTTTATTAACTTTGATTAGTGTGTGAAATCTGTAATCTTTTGAATTTCTTTGCTTAGAAAAATAGAAATGTAGCTGTTGACATGCGTACCTACATCTTGACATGAAGTGTCGACACATTAACAGTCGAAACAGTACACTTAACAGGGAAGACACTTGATTCTGAGATATTCAGAGACTAAACAGTGCAAAACTGATTTTAAAATAAAAATCTTGAGACATAAGACAAGTTTTCAAATCTGCATTGTCATTCTGTGGATGGAGAAATACTGGCTTCTGCCACTGCGTTGCTTTTGCAGCTGGAGTATTTTTGTGTGTGTTAAGAGCTTACATTGTTTGGACTTGGAGTTACTTTGTGGAAATGTAGACATCGGCTCTCTGGGCAGACCTGTGCGACAAAGGGGACGAGCCCGCCGGCTGAGCACAGCCCCACCCCAACCCCGGGCTTCCACACCCCTGGCCGCATGTGGTCTGGACACTCCAAGGCAGACCAGTCACACCCTTTGGTCACGCCTCAGGTCGCTGAGTGTGGATTCCACCTGTTAGACAGGATGCCGACAACACCCAGGACAGCATCACCTGTGGTGACTGCATTGCACTACCATCAGGGTTCCCAAAGTGGAGGTCGCGGGATCCCTGAGGCATCCCCAAGGTCACATCTATTCTTTAAATAATATTAGATATGATTTGCCTTTTTCAACATGTTGGTATTTGCAGTGATGTTACCGAAGCATTGACAGGTGACACTGCTGATATGTTAGTATGAGAAAACTGTAGGACAGAGCCATTCTTTTCTTCATCGCCATGTACATGTAGTGTTAAAAAGTTTCAGTTTTGCAGAAGAATGTCCTTGAAGCTATAAAAACGATTAGTTTTACAAAACCTGAACCCTTGAGGATATGACCTATTTTTTAATTAAAGTTTATTGGGGCGACAGTGTTTAGTAACGTAGGATATGCCTTTTTACTATTCTGTTGAAGTGAGAAGTACACACAGGCACAGGGGTTATCTCGGGGAAAATCACTCGCGACTGCTGAGCTAAGCGCTGCGCTGGCCGCGCTGTTCTGGGACTGCCATCTGTACTTGAAAGCATGACTGACAGCCTCCAGTCATTCAGACCTGCATTGCCTTCCAAATGGCTGCCGGTGTTTGTTGTTCATGATCAAATTCAAGCTTTTAAGCAAAAGTTAAAATTTTGGCAGACTTTTATCCCCTCCCGTGAGCCTGTCGGCTTCTAATCACATAAAGACTTTTTGATGGTGTGGGTGGTGAGGCTTTTAAAAGTACATTGTAGAGTAAAAGTATGGCAACATTTTCAAGATCTGCATGTATAGCTCAGTGAACCAATATTTTCCGAATGACCAGTGCTTGATGTCACAAATTCATGTGTTTGTCAGAAAAAAAAACTCCATTTAAAGTGCCAGGTAGACCGTTTGACTTAATGGAATTGACTGTGGAAAAAAGTACATTGATACGGTTTCAGATTGCATATTGCAACTGACCTTTCGAAGTGATCCATTTATCCAGTTTTAGGGTAGTGTCAAGAAGAATATCCGCAAGTACCAGAAAGACTATTAAAATAATATTTCTCCCTTTTCCAGCTACATAACGTGTAAGCAGGCTTTCTTCAGATGCTTCCACGTCAGCGTGACCAGCTAAGCACACGCAGGTCCGAGGGCCTAGATGACTTCTGTCACACAAGGTGTTAGACACGAAACACAAAGCCAGGCCCCTCCTACCAAGTCACTTTTGTTTTGGAAAAGGGTTTATTTTTTAATGTTATTCGTTTAACATGCAGTGGGTTTGCCATTGTTATTTTCGATGAGTTGATGGTTTCTAAGACCGTCAATATCAGCAGATACAACCCAGGAAGCAAAAGCTCTTTGGGGTTCGCAATAATGGTTAAGACTGAAGGAGTCCTAAAACCCAAAAGTAGAATGACGGCTGGTCTAAAATACGGCGTTCTCTAGTCCTCCAATATTGTGCTGAAATAATTGTAATAAGATCAGTTACAAACTATGAGTACATGTGTATGTATGTATGGAGAGAGAGGTAGCTTTTTTTTTTTTTTGGTCAAAATGAGTTTCCAGGCCTGAGATAACCAGCTGTAATATTTGTCTTTCCGTAGCTTCCATGAAGTAAAAAATTACATTCAGTCTTACTTGTCCCAGCTTGAACAGAAAGCATTCATGGCTGAAGACAAAACTGAACTGTATGTTCTCTTCAGCAGCTGTCTGGAGGTAAGCTCGCCGCCGCTACTACGTATCTGTTGCAAACTCTGTGTACCATACGGGCTATGCAGTGGAAAAGTGCTTCTGAAAATTTGCAGAATATAACTTGAGGCGGTAAAGTTAACAGATGCTGTGTTTCATGCAGGGGAAAAAAGTAGGTTTCAAAAACTTAGCTTCTGCCCTCAGTAATTGTGTATTGTCGTGTGTGTGCACGAGAGAAAGAAAAGCCAGCCTGGACGGATAGACCACTAAGGCCAGGCAGCAGCACTTATCCGCAGGTGGAGACGCAAGGAGTCCTTCTCATTTTCAGTCTCTTCATATTTTTGTTACTTCCAAAAATGTTATAATGCATCTGAAAAAGTTACATTGTACCCAGTTTTTTCCTCATAGGTTTCCTTTTTCCCCTCTTTTTTGCCTCTAAAATAAAAAGGGATATTAGTTTTCCATGATTCAAATGTTTACACTCAAACCTACAAAGTGTTCTTTATTCTCCAGGTCACATGGTGGGAATTTTGGAGGGTTGGGGGCTTGCACATTTAGAAGAATATCCTTTTCTTCCTCGTCCTTTGCTCCCTAGGATTCGATCCACGAGAAGAACAGTGCTTTCTCCACGAGTGATGAACTGAAACATCTACGGGACGAAGGTCACTTCCTTAAGACTTACCTATCAGGGACACGCAGCCGCCAGCCCGCCAACGAGGCTTCGGTTGAGTACCTGCGAGACACGGCCAGGGTCCGCCTCTGCCTTGACCGGGCGTCTGACCTGCTCTCTGAGCTTCAGGATGGCTCAGGCAAGCTTTCTGCACCTTCCTTTCCCTCAGGCCTCGGGGCCCCAGTATTTACAAATTCGGGAATGAGGGGAGACTGGCTCTCAGGATAATAGCTGGTCCATCCATACCGTGGCCCCTTTCTTCTCGACAGTTTTTTGCTCTGAATTCCTCAAGAGTGGGTCCATGCTGTTTTCCTAACTTCGCGTCTGAGACAGTTGGCTGACAGATGTCCTAGCCCCCAGTCGCTCAGCCCTCTCTCCTTGTCTTCTGCAGAGATGGCCCAGGAGAAGCAGCATTACCTGCGGCAGGTCGAGGACTTCTGCACCCAGGTGAAGAACGATTGGTACCGAGTGTACCTGGTGAGGAAGCTCACGAGCCAGCGAGGGATGGAGTTCGTGCAGAGCCTCTCCCGGCAGGGCCACCCGGCCCACTGGGTGTTTCCCCCGCAAGTCCTGGCACTACAGGTGAGACGCGCGGGCCTGGCAGCCGCGGGCGCTGTCGCCCCTCCTCCGGCGCCCCACCCACACCCGCGAGTGGGTTCTGCTGCCCTGCCCTGACCATCTCCCGCACCCGCTAAGGAAGTGCGTGCATCTGGTCCGCTGCTCTGTCTTGTGCTTCAGTTTCTTCCATTCAGCTCGTGAGCACCTTTAAATGGCCGGCCACCTCGGAAAGGTGTGTGCGTGCTTCTGGTCTGCCATCTGCCGGCATGGCTTGTTTAGGCGTCATTCTGGTCGAGTGTGACACAGGCAGAGCCAAAGAACAATCGGTGGCTTTTGAGTTCAGCAAATTAAAAGTTTCCGGTTTGCAGGAAGCCCCGTTTACCCACAACGGGAAGGACTAGGGAGAAAAGGATGAAGTCATTTTGGCTCCAGGGCCTTTCACTCGTCTTTTCCTAGTGCTCAGAAATGAACACATTCTTACTGTCCTGCGGTCACAAAAATGACACTAAAAATTCTGGCTTTCTGGGACTGTCAGGTGGAGCTCAGGGCTGACAGGGGAAGCCACCTGGCCTGTGATGCTCTGCTTTGAGTGGAGAAAGCAAGCGGCTGCGAGGTTAGCCCTGCCTCTCCGCCCGGGCTTCCCCCGCCCACCCTCTTCATGAGGCCGGAAGAGGTGCCCCCACACAGCGCTGACCATCCCGCCTCAGCCGGACCAGGGGTTCCAACTCAGCACCCCTAACGAGCACCTGCTTCCTTTACCTGGCCAAACAGTTCTGTGCTAGACTTTGCCCCACCATCCCCACCGCGATTGACACCTGTGTTCCTGGGGTTGCAGATGGATCATAGCAGCCTGATGGACCGGTACCTGGTGCATGGACAGGAGTACAAGGCTCTCCGTGACGCCGTGGGCAAAGCCGTCCTGGAGGGCAAGCCCCAGGCGATTACGACAGCTCTGGAGGTAGGATGGGCTCCAGGCTTCTCTGTGCAAAGGGGCAGCCCTCAGCACAAGCATCTCTCCTTGTTTATGTCAAAGGATGCAGTGCGAGGGGCCCCTAGGGTGACACCCTGCGTCGGAAATATGCAGGTGCCCTTGGAATCCACGGCCACGGCCGGCCAGACCAGGACAGCAACAGTGGAGTCGGGGGCATGGGTTTGCTCAGTCCCGCTGACCTGCGAAGGCCGTGAGCACGAGCAGGCCGTTTCTGATACATTTATGGGCGGTGCTTCCTTTGAGACCCTGCTGGTACCACCTCCTCTAAGATTAGTCTGGCACGAGGTGTGCTGGGACGCAGCAGCAGGCACTGCATTCACACCTGTGTGTATTCGTCATCCTGTGATGCTTTTCATTGTGAGTGCGTGCCACCTGTGTGTGTGTGTTTTAGGAAAGGTGCAGTTTATAGACTCTAATCTTTAAAACGTTCTGGCCTTGCTTCCTTTTTGAGCCCATTGACCTTGACATTGGAAATTGAACAAACATCCTATCTCTGCTCAGGGGTAGTTTCCAGGACCAGAGACGTCATCAGAAAGAGACTAGGTGGTGACTGCTGTTACTTCTGCCATGAGATCTCTCATAGATACGCACCGGGTTGAGTGTGAGACTGTTGTAGGATCCGTGCAGCCTCTGAGGTGCAGGGTCCCGGTGGCCAGGTCTCAGGAAGGGCTCCTTTGCCCGCTCCGGGTTTCGGGGCTGATCCACGCTGCACGTGCGCATGCAAACCCCACGTGCCCTGGCCCTCACGTTGTCTGTGTGACTGGCAGAGTCTCACTGGGTGTCCTTGCTTCCTCAGGCCTGCCGGGACTCCGCGCCACAGCATGCAGTCCACTTCCTGTTAGCACTTTACAGAGAGGTCGCCACGCTGTACAGGTCTCACCATGCAAACCTCCACCCCACGCCAGAGGTGAGGGCCGGCCTCCTGGGCTGCCGACGTGGGCTCAGGGTTTGGAGGGACTTTTCTGAAAGGAAGTAAAAGTCACAGCACAAATTATGCCCGTAACGTTCGACAGCGCGTGGGCGTTGTCACCTGCTCTTAGGGAGGGAACACGTCCTGCTTCACCTGAAGCTTTTAGAACTACAGTTAAAACTCAAGTTGGGAACGTAGGATGCTACTGACCCAAACAGCGTGTCCCAGCGGGTGCCTGGGTGTGCGGGCGGGGCTCTGCTCGCAGGTGAGCAGTCTTCCATCGGGACAGTCCCGTCCCCCCCAGCAAGCGGTGATGTGTTACCCACATTCACCATGACATTTGATATGTGTCTGCTATTACGGTGTCTGACCAACATAAGTAAGCGAAGCTTTGGATTGGCATGGAAATCCTCTCAGACGTACTTTCATACTGAAACATGTTTCCCTGTCAGCAACGTGAGGCTGTGAACACGGCTATTGAGGAAAGCAAGATCCTTTCTCCTGACATGAGACGCTTTGCAACGTCCCTGGTGACCAACACTCTGCCGCTGCTAAGGACGGATCCCGGTGGCGGCAGCCTGGAAGGCACAGTGACAGAAATGGCTGTTCACGCTGCAACCGTCCTTCTCTGTGGACAAAGCCAGGTCTTGGAACCCCTGAAGAACTTGGCCTTCTCCCCAGCCAACATGGCGGTAAGCTGGGGTACGAGTCTGTCAGCTTTCACAGTGAAACCGGTGATCGTTTGTCACCTTGGAGACTGAGCCTGTGCTGGGGACACAGCTAAACCCATTTACCTTCTTGATTCTCTGTCTGCCTCTGTCTCACTTGGCCCTTTAGTCCATGACGATGGTGAAAACCTTGCCTTGCCCTTTGTCATTTCACAGAGAGCTTTAGAGGTCAGGAAGGCTCCAAACAGAGCAGCCAGCCAGTGTGCCCACGTGTCTAAAGCTAGCTCTCCTTTCTTGGTTTTACAGAAAGCTTATCTTCCAACAATGCCTGAAGACTTGCTGACTCAAGCTAGGGTCTGGGATGGCCTGCAAGGACTCCGCTGGTACAGTAAGTGTCTGAGACAGCATCACAGTGCTCTGAGCTTCTTGACGGCACGTGAGTCGTTGGTTTAGAATCGTGGCCCACGTGGTGGGGGCCATTGGTGCCTGGGCAGGACACGAATGGCGTGGACGGGCTGGCCCTCTGCCGACTGTCGGTGACCCACGTCACCTCCTGCTCAGTCGTAGGGACAGAACTCTAGGAGGTGCTTCCTGCCCCTGGCAGGTGCCATCTGGGGGCAGTGGGGACTGGGAACCACATCAGAGCCCAGTCAAGGGCCAGCTCACAAAACAACCAAGCTGATGTTGTATAATATCGTGTGCCAACTATAAGTGAATATATATATATATATATAGTCACGGGACGTGGAGTATAGTGTGGGAGTGGAGTCAAGGGAATTGTAATAGATATGTATGATATTGGGGGGAAGAGTGGGGCGGCGGATTGGGGGATGGGGGTTGTCACCTCGAGGGGTAAAAAGTATAACTATTGCACTGTGTTGTACAGCTGAAACTCATTCTAAAAAATGTGTATTTCACAATAAAAAAACAAAAAACAAACAAAAAAACAACAACCAAGCTTTTCACCCAAAGACTTTTGGAAAAATAAAACTGGGAGACGAAACAATATAGCCCACGACCTTATGTAACTTTTGTTGGTGCCTGATTAATAATCCTTTTAAACTAGTTTTAAAGGCTGTTATAAAACATGCTCGTAGAAGAAAAAAATCCAAGAGGAGAACAGAGGGTATATAATGCTACCCTCCTGCCTCCAGAAGTCATCCCGGCACAAGCCTAGGGCCTGAATGAAACGCAGACGTGCTCGGATGATGTCCTGTTTCGCTTAGGCCAGAGGGGGGAGTTAGCCTTCCCTATTAACCGCGGGTCCTCAGGTGAGACCTCACCAGCCAACACGTGCCTTGTTCTTTTGACAGCGTGTCCCAATGGTCACCCGTGCACTGTCGGAGAGGTGAGTCTTGGTACCTGGGGTCGGGCTCCGGGGCTCACGAACGTGTGTTCCTGGGCCTGAGGAGGGGGCCACGGAGGAGGAGGAGGAGGAGGGGCTCGGCCTTCTGGGAGATCATGGACTCTTGAGGGCCGTGCAAGGTGTTTCAACTACACATCTCCATGGCGCTCAGGGTGTCCAGCCAGTCTGCCTCCCCATTGGACGTATTCCTTCACTGTGGGGCTGTCCTGGGCATTGTCGCCTGTTAGCAGCTTGGCCTCGGCTCCATCTCCCCCAGTGTGACAGCCAAAGACGTTGCAGATGTTGCCAGAAGTTCCTTGGGAGATAAACTTGCTGCTGCTTAGGAAGCACAGCAAGCCACCCTTCTTGGCCACTGCGGCCTGGGGTCCGTGACACGCGTCTTTCTGTGATGGCAAAGTGTTCACTAGACCGGAAGCTGGATCACTGGCCCAGAAGAGATATGGGCTAGATACCAGGAGTAGGAAAAAGGGACTCATAGCGAGTCAGCCGTGGGGCAAGGGCCTGTGTGTGGGACTCACGCCGGAACCCCGAAGCACTGAGCCAGGGCCTTCATGGGGTCGTCCGGACCTGCCTGCTCAGATGGTCAGGCTGTTGAATCAGGCAGATGAGACACGGAGGGAGAAAACTGATCCTTACCCTTCATTCTGTGTTCACGGAGTGCCTTGGCCATGAAATGGGATGGAAGTGGGTTCTTCCAAGGACTCCGCCAAGCCCAGAGGCTCGGTGGCCCCGGATCTGAGATGGGTTTGGTCCGTGACCGACCGACCGGTCCCCAGTCTGCAGCAGCTCAGAGTCCGAACTGGAAGAGCGAGCCTTTGGAAGGCATCAATCATTTGGTCACATTTTAAAAAATAAATCCACGTGGAATTAAGGAAGTGTGGAACCTGCAGCCGTATTCTTGGTGTCAGACAGTGACACACTGGGGACCATGTGACAGGGGAACGGAAATCATGAAGCTGAGGAAGGAAGACTGGGTTTTACACATTTGTCTATAAAGTGTCTATTTGGGAATAAAACGTAAACTGTCTCTCCTGTTTAAAAAAAAGTCCAATTTTGCCCATGTACAACGTGATTGGCATGGAACAGGGGCCCTGTCCCCCGAAACGCTCACGTGCTGTTGTAGAATAAGCAGCCATAGCGGGCAGTCGCTGCCTCTGAGGTGTGTGTATTCATCGGCATGACGGTATTTGTGCGTAAAATGACACTGGCTCCAAAACCGAGCGCGAGTGACATCTGTCTCTGTCCTAGTGCGGCATGCCCATGCAGCAGAGCAACTGTGTGGATTGCGGGGCCACGATCGGAGGATTAAACCACAGACCTGAGGGTGGATTCACTCTCCTCCAGTATGTATGCTTATGTTCCCTTCTAACTCGCCAGACGGTGGGCTTTGGGGCTGTTTCGACACCGGCTGATACGCTGTTAAGAAATACAGTGTCGGGCCGGCCGAGTGGCTCATTTGGTTAAGAGCTGGCTTAAGCGTGCGAGCTCTGAGCAACAGCGGTTCAATTCCTGGCCCGAGCTGAGCTGCGGCTGAGCTGCCAACAGGTGGCAGGATGGCTCAGCTAAAAAATATATATAGTGTCAATTACTACCGTGTTTCCCCGAAAATAAGACCTAGCCAGAGAAGAAGCCCCAGCGTGATTCCTCCAGGATATGGAGGGCACACACCCCTCACATGAGGGTTTTATGACCTGTTTCAGGGAGAAGGGTGCCTTTTCCAAAAACTCCTTCAGCTTAAAATATTCAGTATACCAAGGTGCCATATTTTGGCACTTAATACGTGAGGGCTTATTTTCGGCTAGGTCTTATTTTCGGGAAAACGGGTATAGTACCTTCAGACCTGTGACCTGTCAGATGTCAAGGGAAGGCCCCTGTGCTCGGACCACAGGGAAGCGTTTGATCTGAACTTGCTGATGGACTCCGACCGGTAGAGCAGAGGACACGTTAATACTTATTCATTTGAACACTTGTTAACTCAGATTCTTCCACTTGGGCCTCGGGCACGCCCCCTGTTGAAATATGCTTGACATAAACAGGCGGCCTGACTCAAGGGACGATTCAGTCTGCACCAGCAACAAATTAGGCATTTGTCTGTCTGAGCAGAGTACATCTCACTTGTAAACTCTCTTAGCTTGTTCTTTTTTTGAGAAAAGCGAAGGCAACAATAGTCGATCTTATCAAATACTTCAGACTCCAGATAAAAACCTGATCTCACATCCCACACCTGCTCAGGACGAGTGTGCCCGTACGTGGTCATCGTACGTCGGGCTGTTCTGGTGCAGTCGCCGTTTCAAATGCTCTAACCCGTTGTCTCCATAAACTATCAGAATGTCCTAGAATCGCCAATATGTTGGCATTGAACCTGCACCTCCCACCTGGGGGTGACAGGCAGTCCTTTGCCGACCTTGGAGCCTTGGTTTTGATTTGGGACACTGAGACCAATGTGCACATGTCCCCTGTCGATGTCAACTGTCCCAAACTCTGGCTGTCTTTCGCCTGCCTTCTCTCCCAATGATTTCAGTGGAAGAACCAGATCCTGACCTGCGTCCTGACATACGGCCCAGACACAGCACCAACAGCCCCTTAATTCAGCCACTTTACACTGAGAAGGCTGTGGGCCTTTGGTCAGCAAGAAAGGTGGTTCTATAAAGAAAAGAAACCTTAGAAAAATGGTCTGGGCTTAGCAGAAACAGTACTTTGAACAATTTTCTTGAAAACTGGGACCCTGCTCTCCAGGTCCTGAGAATCTGGGATGCATGCCCTGCAGCTGAGAAGGGAGTGTCTCTAGCCTTCACCTTGTCTCTTGCCTTTCCAGAAACAACGTAGACAGAACTCAGACGGGCCACGTCCTGGGCAGGCCGCCCCCCAGAGACGTTACAGTGCTGTCTGACCGAGGGCAACCCCCTGTGGTCTTTCTTCTCATCCGGTTACTCACTCACCTGGCTATGCTTTTGGGAGCCACCCACAATCCCCAGGTATAGTGTCCTGGCACCCTGTCTGTCATCCCTGCTTTCACAGCGAGTCTGTCATGGACTAAGCCCTAGCCCCCCCATGCATTGGGAATATGTCATTGTTGCCTGGTCCGCAAAGCAATCTAAACGTTACGCATCCCACTCGCCCCTGGGGCACATGATGGGATGGGCGCTCACGAGCCTCTGTCAAGTCCATTCTAAACGAGCAGCTCTGCCTGCACACCTGGGAGTGGGCAGCTTACTACACTCACGGTCTGGCCCGTGTCTCGGCTGCAGCTCTGGGGAAAGAGCAGCTGCCGTTCCTCGAAGCTCATTAACCTCCGTAGCCAAAGGCCCAGGCTTTGCCACGTCTCTTTCCCTCTGACGACATCAGAGGCAGGCATGTCTGCCCCGCGCGTCTTTGGCGTCTGCCGCGTGCCGCTCGTTTCAGAGCCGTGTTCTGACTCAGTGCTGGCGGTTCACTCCTGATCTCCACTGAACTCCCCGTGTCCTGCACAAGCCAGACCTGGCTTGACACGTTGTCGCCGCCACCACAGGCTCTGCTCGGCATCATCAAGCCTCCGGTGAGGGACCCGAGAGAGTTCCTGCAGCAGCACATCCAGCGGGACCTGGAGCAGTTAATGAAGACGCTGGGCAAGAGCGCCGACGAGACCGTCAGTGCCGTGCACCTCGTCCTGTGCAGCCTCCTCCGGGAGCCGCGCCACCTCCGTGGCCTGGGTAAGGGGTGGGGCGAGGGGCCGCCCCTCGGCGGGTTCGTGGACCTCGTCTGCACAGAAAGCAGGCTGGCTGCTCACGACTCCAGAGGGAGACGGAAAGATGGCGAAGGGGGGACGACGCCCCGAGAACTTGCTGGCAGAGGGGCGGCCGCGTCGTCCCCTCCATGTGCCCCTTGCTGGGTTAAGGCCTGCGGTCTTCGCGGTCCTTTGCACCAGGGGTGTGAAATGTATGTGATTTGCAGTTTTCAGAGACTGAAGTATCTTCACAAAGAACGTGAGGCTGGGGTCCCAGCAGGAGCCATGTTAAAATACTTGGGTTAATTTAGGAAGATATCTCCCCCTCCCCCAAAGGAACATTATTTCAGTGTAACAATTGTTTCGTGTGTACTCTGTGTAGGCTGCTGTGACTTTTGTCCTTGGGTAATATACTCATTTTTCTTTGCAGGAACTTTCAATTTTGATGCAAACTTGTCAACCAGAGAAATGAGAAACTGCTGGGAAAAGCTTGCGGAGAGTAGTATTCTACCTGAACTGGGAGTAAGTGAGGGCTGATGACAGCTGCCTGCCCACCTCCCTCACTAGCAAAGCACGAGAGGGTGTTTCCTGGGCGTCCCCTGGGCGCTCTGGCCACTGTCCCTTCTGGAAGTGCTGCTGACACCTTTGGCCAAGCTCAGATCTACGTGTTCTGTGCCCAGGCCACCCACACTCCTGGTGTCCGAGCCCACTCCCCTCCTGAGCCCAGTCGGTGAATCGGGCTGAGGAATTATCGGGGGTCCAGAAAGTGGGGGCAGTGGTTTTCCCTCTGTTCCTTTTTACAGCAGACTGTGAGCACCCAAGGTAGAGAAATAAACTATCACTCAGATGCCCCCCAAAAATGCGTCAGTCATCAGAGACTGATTACTCAATTGTCAGATAAGAACATTTCTGAGAGTAAGTCCATCAGGAAATACATGTCCGTAAGGGAAAGGATGGGACGAAAACACAAGTCTCTTGAGTCACATTGCATCTGGGGAGACATAAACCTACCAACAAGGAACATGTAAATTACAGTAAAAGTTAACCAGGGGGAATATCTGATTATGTGTGAAATGGGTCCATCCAACTCCCTACTCGCCCACTGGGAATGTCACTAGGTGTCCCCATCTGTTTGCAGTAGTGTCTCACCCCCAGAACCTGCCATCGGTTTGTTCACCTAGCATCTAGATAAAACCCTCCTGACGGTCAATGCCCTGATCAGCCGTGACGAGCGGATCAGCTCCAACCCCGTGGCCAAGATGGTGTTCGGTGACCCGGCCGCCTTCCTGCCCCACCTGCCCCGGAACAGTGTGGTCCACAGCTCCAAGATGTGGAGCTGCAGACAGAGAATCTCCGTCGAGTATTTGAGGCACATTGTGGAGCAGAAAAACGGCCGAGAAACCGTGCCTGTCCTCTGGACGTTCCTGCAGAAGGTAAGCCGCCCGGCACCAGAGACTTGGGTTTCGTCTGATTGTCCGCAAAGGGGGACATCTACACACTGCCTCAGAGCTTTGGGGTTTCATTTTTTTGTTTTTTTTAAAGATTTTTTTATTGGGGAATTGAGGGGATGGGAACAGCACTGGGGAATTGGGGGAAGGGGAACAGACAAGTTGCTGTCCTTTTGTTCTTCAGTCTAGTTGTGGAGGACGTTGCTTCACTGGCCCAAGTTGGCACCATCATTGCGCTCTTCCCAGGCGAGGCAACTCAGTCACTGGCTTCTGGACGGCCGCTCACTGTGGCTGCTGGCCACTCATGCTGGCTGCTGGCTACACACGGTAGCCCATGGCAACCCACTGCCACAGGGGCTGCAGCCTACGCCGTCGCTGGCGACTCACAGCAGCCCAGCTCCAGGTTGAGCTGTTGTTCAGCATCTTAGCTGTAGAGGGCAGTGTCACTGGCCCTCATATGTGGGATCCGAACCGGGGCCCTCTGGCGTCCCAAGCCAGCTCTTATCCATCGCGCCACTCGGCCGGCCCTGTTTGTTTTTTTTTTTATGATGGGAATCAATTTTAATATACGTTCTTGATCCCAGAAGTTCACCTATGTGGACAGTGGTTACACTTGACAGGATGGTTTGTTGTAGTACCACCTATATATTTCAAATGGACAAAAAATCATTTACAGCATTGTAAGGTCAACAGCTGCCTTTGAATGGGAGCTTCCTTTCTGGCGCTTTGAGGAATACATGACGTAGCTAGAAAATGTACTACTGGAAATGAAAACTCTGCTTAAACTGAATGCCAGCGGTGGGGGGGGGCGGTCTTTTTGATTAATTGCTGTAACACGGTCCTTCAGGTGGCTGAGGGAGTGTCCTGTTTTCTTTAGACATCGTTAGGCGCCGAAGCTTTTGCAGAAAAACTCTTGACGCTACAGGAATTCTGCCATTTCGCCAGCACTGACGCGGCTCGTGGGTCCACCACCCCATTAGAACTACTAGCTCCATTCATATTAATTTTTGTTACATATCTTACAGAGGGGGGTACTTCTGGGTATTTAGGTCCGCATTCTATTTTAAGGCTGTATATTTGGTTTTCATAAATTGTCTGAGCCCGTGGTGGCTGCCATCTTGTGTCGCTGTCGCTCCCAGAGCTTTGGTTTTTTACTGGAATGTCTGAGGCAGAAGACTCAGGGATAGAGATCTCCATACACACCAAACTGCATGGGGAGTTGGAAGTACAAAGTCACAGAGGAAATATACGCAGAGCCGGAAATAGCAGGAATCTGTAAAGAACTTGAGGGCCCTGGAGAGAATCCCCGCAATCACTCAGCAAGAAAGAATAGGCTAAAAGCCTTTCCTGGCAGCGTCTGTCCACCTCCATCCCCCCTCTGCCCCCTCACCCCCACCCCACCCAGTGCCTGGAGCAGTTGGTCATCCATGAGTGTCTGTTGAGTGAAAAACTTGAGTCCAAAGTGCCTAACCAAAATCAAACTCACAAACGTAGTCTTCCCTCTTCCAAACATGCAGGCTTAGACTGAATAAGGGCGAGCGAGCGTGAGGTGGGGGGAGTGGACCAAGTGGATGTACTGGTCCGATCAGGTAGACCCAGACATAGTCCCTGACTTCAGTCCACTTGAACTTTCATTTCCTACGACAGATTTTCTAGTCATTTCCCTCCATGGACCAGTGCTCGCAGTCTAGCAAGAAGTAAGATGATTGAGAAATTTCTGTTGGTCAGTTAAAGAACATGAATTCATGGTAGAAAGGACTTCGTGTTATGACCAGATCTCTCACTACTGAAAGCTCAGGATGAGGTCTTCAGAATGACGCCCCGGAGGAACGCGAGCATCATCTCCTAAACGCTGGGTCTTTTGCTCTCAGCGGCTTCTCTCCACGCCCAGCCCGTCACGCGGGCCCAAGAGGCTGATTTCCTTCATCAGCTTCTGGCAAACACGGGACACGTCAGCCCTGTGAGAGCAGGGACTTTCTCCTCCATCTCCTGCAGGGGGTAGGACTGGCTCACATGCGGCAAGCAGTCGGGGGGTGCTTGCTGAAAGAGTGGTACGGCCTTTTCCCCACTATCAAGGGCCATGATGTGTCATCACATCAAATGCCACATTGACCAGATGAAACTACACGTCTGCGTCCTGAGCCAGCCCTAGAGTCTGTTTCACAGGAGCATTTCCAGGCAAACCCAGGCTTGACTGGACGGTGTTCCCTGTCCAGGAAGCAGAGCTGAGACTGGTGAGGTTCCTGCCCGAGCTCCTGGCCCTGCAGAGGAGCCTGGTGACACGATTCCAGAACGTGTCAGAAGCCGAGTTCCAGTCCATCAGGGGCTTCATTAGCAGTCACGCTTCCGGTAAGACTGTGCTCCAACCGGAGGTCGGTCTGTGTTTGGGGGCTCAAAGATCACTCAAGCTGTGGGGTGGGGGCCGGTCAGGGTGAATGGGTGCACTGTAGCCTAAGCTTTGTGCATGAAGCCCTGGGGGCCACGGATCCCAAAAACCTGTCAGAGGCTCTGCTGCAGCCGGCAGTCGCTTCCCTCTGTCTGGCCCCATAGCTCCCGGGCCCACGCAGCAGTGGGAGCGCTGGGTCTGTCCAAGGAGCACGTGACGACGCTGGTTTGACCAGAAGTGTTTTGTTTGACAGATGGGCTGAAGCAGTTGTTCCGCGACAGAATCACTATCTTTCTGACGACGTGGAACAAGCTGAGGCGGTCACTGGAGACCAATGGTGAGTGTCACCTTCCGCTTCGACACTGAACGTTCCAGGAGGACCTGGCCTCGTAGCCTTGCTCTGCAGCCTACATCTGCACGTGCCCGTAATGCACAGCTACGTGCATGAATGCCGGCCCTGTGCGTCTCTGGGTGGAGGTGTCTGGGATAAGGGGAATAACACAGCCTCGGTGTTCTCGGATCTATCAGTATGGAAACAAAAAGCAGTTGAGGACATGCGCAACTTGTCAGTGTATAAGAGACGCAGAAGCAGGACCCTGAATGCTGCTCTGCACTGCCGCTCCCGCTGTGGGGGCTCCCTGGCTGGGACGCTTGCCAGAAACTGCATGACTGCCTTTGCTTAATGAAGCATACCTGTCATTGACAGGCGAAATCAAGCTTCCGAAAGAATACTGCAGCACCGACCTCGACCTGGACACTGACTTCGAGGTCATTCTGCCACGCCGCCGGGGCCTGGGCCTCTGTTCCACTGCCTTGGTCAGCTACCTGATTAACCTGCACAACGAAGTTATCTACACGGTGGAAAAGTTCTCCAAGGAAAACAACAGGTGAGTGCATGCGTGGGAGGCGGTGCCCTCTCGGCCCAGGAAGTCATTTCTGAGGCCTTGGAGCAGGGTCCCCCAGCCCGGAGGAGACATCAGCCTCTTCTCTAACAAACGCTCCTCCAGCCTTGCTCACGAGCGTCCGCAGATGTGTGTATCGTTTTATCTGTGCAGACCGAGAACATCACATAGGAACTGGCTCCCTATCACCCCAGCCCGGGTCCCTAGGCATTGACTGGGATACTGAGTGCTGTGTCTTCATATCCTCAGCTACTCCGTTGATGCCTCTGAGGTCGCTGACCTGCATGTCATCAGTTACGAGGTGGAGCGGGACCTGACCCCACTGATTCTCTCCAACTGCCAGTACAAAGTGGAACCGGGCGGAGAGAGCCTGCAGGAGTTCGACCTGGAGAAGATCCAGCGTCAGCTCATCAGCCGCTTCCTGCAGGGCAAGCCCCGGCTCACGCTCAAGGGCCTCCCCACGCTGGTATACAGGCGCGACTGGAACTATGAACACCTCTTCACAGACGTTAGGGACAAGACGCCACAGGTGAGCCCGAGTGCTCCCCCAAGGAGTGGCATGGCCTCCCCACCTGCCACGCACTCAGCGCTTCCGTCAGGCTGAGCAGGCCCACTCTCAGGCCAGGCGGTGGTCACCGCCAGTTACAGTGGCCTCCAGAAGTCCCCTGAGCCCACTGCTCCTTCCAGAGGGCAAGCGGGACAGCAAGTCAGCACGAGTTTCCTTGAGTGTCAACAGATTGCAGTCTCGTGGTGTGAATCTCTTAGCACTGGTGTCGTGACCCCCAGAGAACTTACTCCTGCTCTTTTGGGGGTGGGGTGGGGGTGTGCGCGCGCATATCCTCACAAAGGTGCTCTTAGAGTCACTGTGCTCCCGTCTGTTTCTGTAGAATAGCTGGCATACCGCTGACACCTAGGAAGCAGAGTGCTCGCTGCTGTCCTGTCAGAGCTTGTCCCGATGTGTGGCCTTGGCAGTGAAGAAGCAATCACGCTGTCCGCACAGCACCCCCACACCCTGTCCTGCTCTTGATTCCTAGAGCCCCCTCCCCAACGCTGCCATCAGCACCATCAGTGGACAGCTGCAGTCCTACAGCGACGCCTGTGAAGCTCTGTCTGTCATCGAAGTCACTTTGGGGTTTCTGAGCACGGCTGGCGAGGACCCGAACATGGACTTGAATGTGTATATCCAAGACATGCTGCGGATGAGCGATCAGACCGAGCAGGTTTTAAAGGTGGGTCTCGCGTCAGGCGCTCGTACAGGAAATCAGCACTGCCCCGCCCCCACCGTCACCGCCTCACTTCCTGCTAGGAATAGCACCATCAGAGAGGGCGGATCTAGGTGGCACCTGGAAAGGGGGGCTGTGAGAACAGGCCCTCCCCCAGCCAGCCTGCAGGGAAACAGGACAGACCGAGGGTAATGGAGTGGAGGTGCGCTGGGAACACGAGGCTCAGACAGAGCGAGCAGCACATCAGCCACCTGCCAACGGCTTAGTGCTCGGGCCCTGAGCTACTGCGGACGGGAGGCCTTTCGGAGCCGGCCGGCCTGCGTGCTGAAGGAGGCGGATGAGGGCAGGGCGGGGACGCACAGCGCCCACCTCCTGAGGGGCTCTCTTCCTCTTTCAGGCCTTCCACCGATGTCAGCTAAGGCACGCCGTCGCCCTCTGGCAGCTCCTGTCTGCTCACAAGTCTGAGCAGCTGCTGCGGCTGAGACAGGTAAGTCCCTCTCCTCCCATCCGCCTGGCAGAGGGAGCCGTACTGGCCCCGGCTTCCCGCTTCATCTGCTCTCCCTTCACTGCAGGAGCCGTTCAGGGAGATCAATGCGAAGTACAGAGCCGACCTTAGCCCGGAACACGCAAAGCTCCTTGGCACGTTCCTGAACCAGGTCAGCCTGGACCCCTTCCTCCTGGAGCTCCATGAAATGATAACCTTGAAACTGAAGAACCCCCAAACCCAGGAGGATTTCAACCCCAACTGGAGGTAGGATCTGCAGCCTGCTGGCTGGGCCCCCTCAGAAGGGCCCCCCACCTCTGCTGTGGTCTCCGTGGACGTGAGAAGCGTTCATCTCACCATGGGATCTAGCTGCCTGCCGTGTTAGCGTTGCCCGGGTCCCTGGGGACTGGCTTTGGGTTGTTATCTCAATTGAATTTTTAAAAATTATTACAAGTCCTATGCTCATTGTAATGCGTGGACTTGGTCTGTGTGTGTGTGTGTGTGTGTGTGTGTGTGTGTGTGTGAATACCCAACACTGGGTATTATTCCAAATTGGACACTTGTGCCAATCCAATGGCCAAAAAATGGTATTTTCACTCATATTTTCGTATTTGCTAGTGAGGCTGGAGATAGGTTTCCGTTTATCAGCCATTTGTGTATCTTCCTGTGAATTCCACCTTGATATTCTTTGGTAAATTTTTTTTTGAGGGGGTGCTGTTTTTTTCTTAATCTTAAAAGATTAAGATTAATCTTTCATCTGTTATGTTTTGTTACAAATGCTCTGTCTCCGAGTTTAATTTTACAAAGCCAAACCTGACAGAGTTTCCACAGAAAGCCTCTGTAAGAAAATAGAGTTGTCAGGGTCTCCGTTACCCCAAGGTCATGGCCTCCCGTGTTCTCTTCTTGTGCTGCTCTAGTTTTGTGTTGCACATTTGTTTCGTTAACCAGTTTTTTTTAATGTGTGGTGTGAGACGGTCCTCACCAGTACACCTCAGAGTTGCCATGTTCTTCCATTATGCTATGTGGCATACACCTGCATACATTTATGTCTTAAGAGTTTTTTAACCAGTCTTCACTTTCCTGGACTTTGGGGTAGGGACAAAAGATCCCTTGCCTAGAGAACTTATAATGTTTGTTCATACAAAGCATGAGATGAAGTAGAAGCTTTTCTTGGAATCGCAGGCTTTGTTTTTTACATAGCAGCTCAGGTGACCCAGTCAGCGGCACCCTTCAGGGTTCGTAGACTGCATGTGGGGAGTGGTGGCAGAGCCCATGTTCCCAGGACTCTAGCCCCAGCTCACTGACTCAATTGTTGATGGGCTGTAAGCTGACCCTCAGTATTTCGGGTCTTCATGTGCACCTTGGTTCTCATTTGGTTTGAAAAAGGGACAACTGATGGGTCTCCTGACGTTATCTGGAATGCTCTTTTAAATGCTGTCTTTTGTTCCTTGGTTTTTCAGCCTGAGAGACACTCTGGTAAGTTACATGGAAACTAAACAGAATGATAGTCTTCCCGAAATGGAATCTCAGTTCCCGGAAGAGATACTGCTCGCCAGCTGTGTCCCTGTGTGGAAAATGGCAGCTACACTGAAACGGGATCGACAGGCGAGGTAGAATGGCCTCCACGGACTGTCGCCTTCATGCCTGCTCAGAGGGCAGGCTGTCGGCATAGCCCCAGACTCAGGACCAAGACGTGCTGTGCGCCGACAGCTTTGTGCAAGCCCAGCTGTTTCAGGAACACGTATATTCCAAAATTTGCTCACCGTATGATGAATACTGGTCACTGCGAGGTGAGAACTGGAGGTCACATGAAGTGACAATAAACTGCCACCGTTTACCTTCCATGGGAGACCCAACAAGTTGCCTGTCCCCTTCACACAGGAATAGCCATCTGGGGCCTCTACCCTCATAGCGGGGACACACCCTGCCACCGGCCCCGTCTGCCTCAGATCCCTAACGTGGTGACAGGAAGGGAAAATGGGGCTATTTATTTTTGCTTTTATTTTTCTCTTATTTTGCACTCACAGAAGAGAACCTGGCTTGCTTCTTTCTTCCATTCCTTTCAATTCTGAGTATTGTACAAATACTGCTAGGCTTCCAAGAAGATGTGAAAAAGCACCAGATTCTTTTTTGTCCTCTCACAAGTCAGGGCATTCTGTGAGGAACAGAACTTGAAGCCAAACTAACAAGACCTCACCCAGGCCCTGTAATCACTCACTGCCGCCTTTCAGGGACCAGAGCCAAACGCTCTCGTGAAGAGCACCAAACCAGGAATCCCTGGTACTTTAAGGGCATTCGCGTCCTCATCTATGAAATGAAGGGACTGGGCGGATGGCCAAATTTCCTCTCAATTCTAGTACTCTGAAATTCTAAATGAACGTTTATCAGTGTACACTTGGGTCCCAGGCACGGTCCCGGCGTTTCTGTGGGAAGTTTTCGACTTCCATTCTGCCAAAGAAACGTGATCTCAGCGGGACCTCGAGTTCCCTGAGTGTATGAATATCTGGTCCTTGCTTTGGGTCTCAGCCCAGGCATAAAAACACACACACACACACACACAGAATATAAAACCAGTGAAGTTTCCGAAAAGGCAAAAAGAATGGTCCACTCGCCCTGACCTCGTGCTTTCTCACTTAAGTGCTGTCTTTTTCACAGTCTCCTTGGAGGCTTAGTGACCAGGACTAACTCGTATCCCTAGGTGGCCCAGCACCCAGCACCACTGACAAACAACTGTTTATAAGCACTCACTTTAATATGCATCTAAGTGAGCTGATGCCCCAGTCAGCTTGAAGTTGGGCCGAGGCTGGTGACAGCGCCAACAAGAGCAGAGCACTGCTTCATCTCCAGGTTCATGGCTGTGACTGGACAGTGCTTGATGGCGAGGCATGCAGTGATCCGGGCCCCCCAGTACTTCATCTGATACAGTGTCCACTTACATTTAGTGATCTATGACTTCAGTCATCCCAGACTATGCACAGCACCCCAGCCAGCTTCTGTGTCCCGGACTGCCATTTAATCGGGGCGGAGCTGCTCGTCCAGCCCTTCACCTTGAACTTGGAACTCCTTTGATACCTCAGAGTAGGGTGGGAGCAGGCCAGGCCATCAGGTGCCACACCTGAGCAGATCTGTAGGGGGTGGGGGGCAGGGAGCTGGGAATTGCCCCCCCACTTTTATGATCTTTTAACGAAGGTATTTCGTATGCTATGCTTTCAAAGCCTTAACTGTCATCTAGCACTGTCTTGTTTGTACAAAAATGCACTGACCTAGCCCAGACAAATGCCAATTGTATATGTTATACCTGTTTAATAAACTTGAATTTTGCTTTTAAATACTTCTCTTTGGGGCCAGAACTTTTATTGCAAATGGACCTCAACTGGGCTTTTGGGAATGGTTTTGCTTACTGTGGTGTCTGTCCATCCACTGAAACGTACACTGTGGTTTAGAATGTGAGGGTACACTTCCTCTGGATAAAATGACAGCACAGCTGTGGGGACCCAGGGAGTTGAACACCACACCCCCAAATCTTCAGCCACCTTCTCCAGGGGTGTCCTCCCAGTCCCTGCCTGGAGTGACTTCCCTGGGGGCGAGGAGTGTTCCAGGTAATAATGAGTCACAGCGCACTCTGTGATTGGGGGTGCTGTGGGATGGGGGATGAGTCCCCCAGTAAAGGGAAATAGAGATGGGAGAAATAGTAAGCTTCCAGCAGCCCATGTTCGTTTGAGTGGTAAAACACCACTTTAAGGAAAAACTGCATTTTCTCTTCCAAAAAGAAAAGGCTCCTCCAGGAGAGAGGCCTGTGGCCTAGAACTCCAGCTCGGAGAAGAGACGGCCGGCTCACCAGGAAGACATGCGGCCGCTGCCAGACCCATGCTCTCTGCTCACCATCTCGTCACGGAGCCCACCCCCGCCTCCTGTTCACTCGCGTTCCTGTCCAGCTGCGTGTCTGGATGTCTCCCTGTGACAGTTCTTTCTGCTTTCAGCCAAGGCAGAAACAGTCGGAGGCTGGTGGGGACTTACCTGCAAATCTGCACAGCTGATCACCGTCTCCTCTTCCAGACCTTACTGTGTGTGTGAATTACAGACCTTCTGTAACGGGCTGTAGGATTTCATCATTTAACTGACAGTCATGAGCTCTTTTTCTTCCCACACCCCCCATGAACTATTTCGGTTATTCCTAGGAGCGGGCAATTCCGACCTAGAAACAAACTTCCGGAGGAAAACCACCCTTGTGGAGACAAGGTCAGGTCAAGGGCCTGGCGAGGCAGGTAACGCGCGCTCCATCTCACCTGTTATGCATCACGCTGTTATGCGCTGCGTGTAAAGCGCTGTGACCGGCTGGGCCTGGAAAGAGACTGGACGGGGACGGACAAGGACCACACGCGGGGCTTTGAGCTCAGGAACACCCGTCGCAGCCAGGATTCGCATTTATATCTCTCTCTGCATTTTTCTAATCCCTCTCGCTAATTAAGCATTATGAATCTATTTCCAACTGGAAAAGCGAGCCCCAGGAAAGTGTGGGTGCTGACAGTTCACACCTCATCAGACTCAGGTATCCTGGGGCAGCAGGACCCCGGTTCCTTCTGAGGAGATGGGAGTGTTTCGGGGAGCCATCTGGGGCAAGAGCAGAGTGGAAGTGGGGGGAAAGGGCCCTCGCTGGAGCACACAGGAGCCGCCCCCCTGATTTTCCACATCCGCAAAGACCTTCCCTTCACACCTGAATTTCAGTCCGAGCGTTCCATCTCCGGCTCTGCCTCCCGATCACTGCTGTACCCTGAAGCACACCCGAACCCCGACCCGGCGTACAGTTCCTTCCTCAGGACCACTAACGGGCCTCGCCACAGGCCCGCCGATGACTCCCAGTGAGCAAACCCAAAGGCCCCGACCGCCCTGTCGCGTGACAAGGCTGACACAACGCAGCCCAGAGGGAGCCTGGCGGAACCCCGGCCGTCCCGTTTGCCGGCTCTGTGAACTCGCGCAAGCGTCTCCATTTCCCCACCTGGGAAGCGCCTCTCGGTGCTGCAGTGAGAAACGAGTTAGCGTAGATCATAACTGAGCACAGTGCCTGGCGAGCAGCAGGCAGGTGCTCAAATGGTACTCAATGGTACTCATCCCCTCCCAGCGGAAAACACCCGTCTCCCAAGGCCCTGCCAGTTGACAGATGCTGAGGCCGGCCCTCGTCGTCCATCGTTTCCTCGGGAGATCTACGTTCAGACCACATTTCCTAGCCACGTGCTTGAGTCCCCCAGCCCACTGTAAACCAGGTTGCATTGCTCTCCTTCAGCCTCGCGGGCTGCCTTTCGGGGCCTCAACTACGCCCACCTGTTTCCTACCTCAGGACCTTTGCACGTACTGTTCTTGCTGCCTGAAACGCTCTCTCCTACTTACCCTCCAGGTCTCGTCTTGAGTATCACCCCCTCGGGGACGCCTTTCCCAACCACCTGCCTACAGCAGGCTCCCCTCGCATTTTCTCTGCAGCACTTACCACAGAGGGCAGTTACGGGAGGAAACTGTAACCCCTGCGCCTAGCACGCCGGCCGGCACGCAGAGAGCGTGGAATAAACAGTCCTTAAGTTGACGAGCCCGGCCGGCCAGTGTTCCGAAGGCGGGCGGGCGTGCTGTCTGGCGGGGGAGGCTTTCTGCACCCCAAGACGTGTGAGTCTGGCTCCGCTAAGGGCTGCGTCCTTCCCTCAAAAACCTTCTCAACGTGCAGCCGAGGCGCCATGAAAACGGCAGGTGCTCAGTGATGGGGTTCAGGGCACACCACCCCGAATGACGGTCCCTTGGCACACTCACTATCAAGCCGAAGGGGTTTGAGAAAATGGCAGAACTGGTTCGGTCGCTCCTGCTTCTCCCATTTTTCCCTCCGAACCTCCGATGTGAAAGGTGCCCTGGCTGGGCCAGGCGGGAGGCGGGCTCATCACCGGGACGGGGCGTGCGGGCCCAGAGGGGTCTCAGCGAGGTCACGCCTCCCTCCCACGCTCGCAGCCCGGCCCCGCCGGCTCCGCCCTTCCTGCTCGGAGCTCCTCCGGGCCCCCTGCTCCCGGGAAGGCTCCGCGCGCACGTGGACGCCCGGGGCACGTGTGTGCTGTGCTGTGGGTCTGCGCGCCTGGGTCGCTTCCAGACCCCGCCCGGGGCCCAGAGCGGGGGCCGCTCCCCCCTCCCCGCGGCAGACGCGACTGCGGATCAGGGCTGATAAGGGCCGACGCCGGCGGCCGGGACGGCGGCCCGCACGTTCCGTCACCCCGTCCACTCGGCGCGGAGCGGCTGGAGCCCGCGGGCCCCTCGGCGGTCCGGCCTCTCGGCGCCGCTTCTCCACCCGCGGGGGGGCCTCCGGCCACGAGGCGGCGACCTCAGGGGAGCCTCGCGGACAGGCCCAGAGGCGGCCCCCCCCCCCGAGCGCCGCCAAGGCAACCAGGGCAGCCCGGCGCGTGCGCGTGCGCGGCGCCTCCGGAAGTGACGCCCCCGGAAAGGGGTGCAGGGGTCGCGCCATGGCCCGGGAGGTGGCGGGGCGGCCGCCGGAGGAGACGCTGTCGCTGTGGAAACGGTAATGGCGCCGGGAGAGGAGCGAGGCCCGAGGGCTGGAGCAGCGTGGCGCCCATGCACCCTCCGACCTCGCAGCCCCCGGGCTTGGGGCGGCGGGGACCTGGGCCCGCTTCCGGGGCGCGGGCGAAAGGGCCTTCGGGAGGTGAGGTGGGCGGGGTCGGCGGGGCTCGTTTCCGGCGCCGTGTCTCGGCTCACCCGGGACCGGGAGCGGAGGCCGCGGGGGCCCCGAGGGTGGGTGGCGCAGGACCGGGAGGGTCCCAGCAAGAGCCCCGGGCGCCGGGCCTGGGCGTGGGCGTGGCCGCCGCCGGGCGGCGAGGGGGCGGGGCCGGGCCGGGCGGCTCACGCGCGGCGTGTCTGCTCTCAGGGAGCAAGCCCTGCTGAAGGGCCGTGTCGTGGACCGGGACACGGAGGCGTGGCAGCGGGACCCCGCCTTCTCGGGCTTGCGGCGGGTCGGGGGCGTGGATGTGTCTTTCGTGAAGGGCGACAGTGTCAGCGCCTGCGCCTCCCTGGTGGTGCTCAGCTACCCTGAGCTCGAGGTAACCTGGGGTTCCTCCCCACCCCACCCGCGGCTCCCGGACAGGGGCCCGTGTCCTTCGTAGGGTTTCGTTAATAGGCCGGGAAGTCTTCAAAGGAAAAAGAGCAGGTGGAGCAAAAAAACGAGATCCTGTGACTTAAATCTGCATTCACTCAGGTTCTTTTCTTTAAGCTGCTTGTTGTCTTGGGTTCCCCATCTCAGCGACCCCAGCGACACCTCCCGAGTTGCCCACGCTGCAGATGCCGGTCTCCCCAGACCCTTCGCCACCGGGCACACGCTCGCTCCGTTTTTCTCTGCCTCCTAAATATCCCTGGAGTCAGCCCCCCTGCGGCATCCTGGCCCCCCCTTCTCTGGCTGTGCCATGGTCACCCCTCCTGTAGGTGACAAGCAGAATCTTCACTGGGCTCCCGCCCTGGGGATTGTCCTCCGTGGGCCCTTCTCCGTGCTACCAGCGGAATGATTTTCCTAAAAAGCAAGTGTGGTCACGTTGCCACCTCGTCCACGTAAAACACGTCCTGTGACTTCAGGGTGAGTCAAGTTCACACCCGTGGACCAGGCGCGAAGGCCCTCGTCAGCCGACACCGCCGCCCACGGTCCGCACCTGCCGCCCCCTCCGAGGACTGGGTCCCTTAGGGCACGTGCTGCATCCGCCTGCCTCACCTTTGCGGTGACGTCTCCTCTCTGGGACATTCCTCGCCTGGCTGCCCCCTACGCATCCCTGAGGTCCTCCCGCAAGGCCCCCTCGCCCCGCAGGACCACGAGCTGCGCCCAGCGTCCTCTCTGTCTCACTGGAGTGGGATTGGCCCGTCTCCCCGACCAGAACGTAAACCCCACAGTGGAAGGAGCCGTGCGGTTTTGTGCTCCGGTCGTAGCCTCGGCGCCTACTTAATGCCTGGCCGCTGGAAGACACTCGACTACACGCACGTGCGAATGGACAGTGTGCCCAGGATTGTTCTGGAATCTATAGCTCAGGAAGCCTTGGCTGAAGAAAAACTGCCCAGGAAACCGCGCTGTGCGGCTTCAGTTTCCCCTGCCCGCTCCCAAACATGGCACCTTCCTGCCTCAGTGCCCTTGCACTTGACTCCGAAGGCCCCTTTCATCACAATTCAGCAAGCGTGTGCTGAGCGCCTGCCCTGTGCTGAGGTCTGGATACAGGTGGCGAGGGCACCAGAGTGCCTGTCCTCAGAGGTCCTCTGGTCACTTCGTAGGATGGCATTGGGGGCCGGGGCACGGACCCCGGAGCCAGGCTGCCGGGCTTCCTACCTCAGCTCTGCCACTCCCGTGGGACCCCTGCGGCCTCCATGTCCTCCTTCCTAACTCGGGACAGCCCGTGGCTTGGAACCCAAGTGGGGGTTGTGAGGAGCGCCCCAGCGTGCACGACAGCGGCCAGCGTAACCAGCCCTCGGGGGAGCCCTCGGTGAATAAGGGTCAGCGCCAGGAGCGCTCAGTACAGCTGCTGCTTTTCCTGCCTGGCTCACCCACTTCGTGGGTCCCTACCTTTGCCCAGCTGCAGAGTTAGCCCTTCAGTGTCCGTGCGAGGCCTTTGTCGTACGGCGTTACGGCTGTCCCCCCGTTGTTTCCAGTCACTGGTCCGCGTGTTGTCTTGCCCACTGACTGGGTTCTCAAGGGGCGGGTTATACTGTATTCCTTTTGTCACCCAGCACGGAGCAAGGTGCCTGCCACTTGGGGGTAGTCAGCCTTTGTCGTTCTGCGCTGTGGCACCTTGGACCAGGAAAGGGTCTTGGGAGAGTCTGGTCCAGTGGCTCCCAAATGCCCACCTGAGGATCTGCGCCCGGAAATGTGTTTAGAAACAGATTCCATAGGCAGATCGATGGAGACAAAGTGGGTTCGTGGTGGCTGAGGGCTGGGGCGTGGGGTGGGTGGGAGTGCCTGCTGATGGGTGCAGGTTTTATTTGCGGCCTGGAGAACGCATGCACGTTCTCAGGCCAGTCGGACTCCTGTGAAAACTCCAGGTTAAGGGACCCCGGGCTGCCGACACTGTGTCCTGAGCAGGTCCCTTACGTTCCAGTGCAGCCTCCCCCTTTGATGCTGTGTGTTGGGGACTTCTCCCTCTGAGGAGCCCCTGCCAGAGCAGCCCTGGGAAGGGAGCTGCGTGTGTAAAAACTCGCTGACTGGTCCCAGCACTTCGGGGAGCCCTGACTGGCTGAGCCCCCCCTCCAGACCTGTGACCCCACTCCTCCTCCCCCCACTTTGCCCAGGGCCTCTTCCCGCCCACCCTGTCTCTGGGCTGCTTTGCAGTGGCAGCCTGAGAACTTGCCTTCTAGACTCTCCCATCCCTGGGGACCCCTGTTCTCTTTCTAGCTGCGAGGTCACTCCTGTCCTCTTCGGAGTTATTTGAAATCTTTTCATAAAGCCGGAGGTGCCTTTCTTGTGTCATCGCCTCTCTGAAGACCTGGCCTTTGCTGCTTGCCCCCACCGTCTCCCAGGGGGCAGTGCTGTCCTTGTTCCCATCACACTCGCAGTGCTTGCGCCTCGCCTCGGCTGCTGCACGGCCCGCCCTTCACAAACAAGGCAGCCTGCGGAGGGCCTGATGGAGACGGGACAGCCGGGGACAGCCGGCACCTTTGCCCCATTTGCAGGGCAATCACCTCATCCTCATTTGTGCTTTCTTCCCGGAGAGCGAGGCAGGGAAGCAGACGTGGGCAGGTCTGGGAGGCGGAGAGGGAGCTGGCAGTGGAGAGGGTTGGTGGGTGAAGGGCTGAGGGGCGGGGAGGCAGGTGGCAGGGCCGTGCCCTGCTCGGTGACCTGGCTGCCTGGCGACAGGTGCTGTACGAGGACTGCCGCATGGTTAGCCTCACGGCCCCCTACGTGTCGGGCTTCCTGGCCTTCCGAGAGGTGCCCTTCCTGGTGGACGCCGTGCGACGGCTTCGGGAGAAGGAGCCCCACCTGATGCCCCAGGCAGGTACCTCAGAGGGGAGGCCCTCTGCTTCCCCCGGCAGGGGAGACCGGCCACCATGGCAGGAGCGTTCTCGGGAGCTTCCTGGAGAAGGGACATTTTCGGTGGGGACAGAGCTAGGACTTTCTAAAACGCTGGACTCAGAGTGGCGGCCCCACTCCACTGCTCCGGGATGTCCCGGCCCAGCGGGCGGTGCCACTGATCACAACTTTCCCTGTGTCTCTCCAGGTCCTTCTTGTTGATGGAAATGGGGTGCTCCACCACCGAGGTAAACGCTCCCGACACAGCCCCATGGGGCTGTGGGAAAGGGGCCCAGGGCGGGAGGTTTGGATAGCCCCTCCCAGGACGCCTGTGCCCCGCCCCGGCACCTCCTTTGTGGGCCCCTTTCTGTGTCAGGATGCCCCAGGAAAGAACCCCTGCTTCCCTCGCCCCCTCCTTTCATGCCTGCCCCCTCGGCCTCCCCCCAGCACCCTGCACTCACCATCTCAGGTCTGCTGCCCAGTTTGGACCTGACCGCTACCAGAAGCCCCAGGCCCAAGCTCAGCTACCTGTCCTCCTGGTGGCCCACCCCGCGTCCTGACAGGAACAGACAGGCGTGCCTGCTCCCCATGGACTCCGGGACCTGCACCCTTGGTGCTGGACCCTTGGCCCAGGGGAGACCAAGGGAGAGGGGCTGTTTCACCCTCAGAGGCGAACCTGGGGGTGTAGCAGCAGAGAGCACTGGGCTTTTCAGCCCCTGCGCAGGGAGCCTGTGGGTGGACACATGCCACCCTGGACACTAGTGCGGGACTAGCAGGCCAGCCCTGGGCCGGGACCCCCAGCACTGCAATCAGCGCCTGGCAGGAGCCCAGAGTGTTGGGGGAATTGTGGGACAGGGACCCAGAGGCCTGATGGTGGCCCCCAAGGGAAGGAGAGGACGGAAGGTGCCAGAAATGGAAGGAGAAGCAGTGTGAGGTGTAAGCCTGCTAAGTGGACTCCTCAGCTGGCAGAGGCGAGGAGGCCCCCCCCCACCCCACCCCGAGCCTGACGCCTGTGGAGTCCGGGCAGAGGGCCACATCCAAGGTTAGCCTGGGGCTGAGTCCTGTCTCCTCAGCTCTCAGCTGCGACAGGCGTCTGTTCACTTGGGGACACTCCGAGGTTCTGTTTGTCCTCAATCCCCGCGCCATCTACACTGCCCCCTCCTCTGCTCCTGCAGGTTTTGGGGTGGCCTGCCACCTCGGCATACTCACAGACCTGCCCTGCATCGGGGTGGCCAAGAAGCTCTTGCAGGTGGATGGGCTGGAGAACAACGCCCTGCACAAGGAGAAGGTGAGGAGCCGGCTGGTGGGGCCCCGAGCCCGCCATCACCCTGCGCCGGGGCAGCCCCTGCCTGCTGGTGCGCTCGTCCCCGCCCTGGACCCCTGGCCTGGATCAGGAAGACGCGCGGCTCTCTGCGCCCCCTGAGCTCCTTGGCCCGCCTGTGCCTCCATAGCACCCCACGGGGGGCGGGGCCTCCAGTTATCAGGTCCAGGACCTTTGGGAGCCTATGCGGTGCCCCACTTTTCCCCACCCCCAGGCCCTGCTCTGTCTCCCACCCTCTCGTGACATCTCCCCCCTCATCCCCCCTCCCCTCCACCGCTGGCCCTGGGAACGAAACCCTACTCCATAGAGAGGTGGTGACACGCCACCTTTCCCGCTGGACAGACAGATCAGCACGCCTGTCTCCTCTGGGAAGTCCCGCATCTGCTTGGGCAGCGGACAGGCTCACTCAAGTGGGCCACTGCCCATTCCCCAGAAAAGTTTGTTGGGTTGAGTCAAATGAGCCCATACTCCTGGCAGGACAGAAAGTGGCAGGAAGTATGCAGGGTCCGGTTGTGGCCCACTGGCCCGAGTTGGCACCTGTGTGTCCGCCAGCTGGGCTTGGTGGGTAACTGGTGCCTCTACCACCAGCACTGGCCGAGGCAGGCTGCCGCCGCTTCTCCGGGCCCAGGTTTCTCTGCCCTAGAACGGGGAGGGGAGTTGAGCTTGCCTGCCAGGGTGGGATGGTGCTGTGGGCTGCGCTCTGGGGCCCGTGCACTCGGGACAGGTGAGCACGGCCGCCTGCTGCAGGTGTGAGCGTGCCCGCCTGCCGCAGGTGTGAGCACGGCCGCCTGCTGCAGGTGTGAGCACGGCCGCCTGCTGCAGGTGTGAGCGTGCCCGCCTGCCGCAGCCCACACGCAGCATCAGGCTCTTCCTACCCAGCGGCTGCTAGGACCTTCAGCAAGAAAAACTGGTTTTCTCTTTCTCTCGTCCAGATACGCCTCCTGCAGGCTGGAGGAGACACGTTTCCTCTGATGGGAGGCTCCGGGGCCATCCTGGGCATGGTGAGTAGCCAGGATCAGTGGGACCCCAGGCCAGCACTCACGTACACACGTGCACCTGCAAGCCCCAGACCCTAGCCACCTCGACCCACCTTCCCTCCACTCACTCCGTCTGACCAGGCTGTGCTGAGGGGGCTCTGCCTGGCCTTGCCCCTCCCCGTCCCCAAGACCAGCAGCAGGAAGGCGCCCCAACAATGCTGTAGGCACCCCTTCCCCCAAAGCTCTGTCCTGCCACCCAGGACAGGTTGTCAGTCCTCCAGCCCACAGCGCCGTGACCTCACCTTCCTCATCCCAGGCCCTGAAGAGCCACGACCACAGCACCAAGCCCCTCTACGTCTCCGTGGGCCACAAGATGAGCCTGGAGGCGGCCGTGCGCCTGACCCGAGGCTGCTGCAGGTTTCGGATCCCGGAGCCGGTGCGCCAGGTGGGTGGGCCGCCAGGCGTGTGGCCAGCGTGTACCACCTGCTCGTCTGTGCTTCCGTCAGGTCAGCTGGGCTCAGGCACCTGCAGGAGAGTCTGGTTGGGCTGCTCTGGGCCCTGGGGAGAGGAGTCCTGGGAGCTTCTTCAGGGGCCCTGCCCTGCCTGGGCCCCAGCGCCCACTGTGCTCCTGCACCTGGTACCAGGGTCACTGGGAGAAACAGCCGTGTCAGCTCACGTGACAGGACATTGGTGGCCAATTCCAGGGCCCTGTGTCTGCCTCACCGGCCCCAGGGGGCACCGTCACCCTGCTGCCATGGCCGCCACCACCTCCTTGGGGCCTGGGCCTTCCCTGCCTGCTGATGTGCAGGGCCGCCTCCAGGTGGCAGCAGCAACCTGCACAGCGTGTGGCTCGGCCCTTAGCCTCTGGGGTGGCTCCTCAGAGTGGACTCACTAAGTGCCTGCCCGCCTCCCTCTCAGTCCAGGCTCCATAGGCGAGTGGGTTCCCAAGCATGTGACGTGTGTGCTGACTCCGCGGGGCATTGCCCCCTCCGTCCCCACCCACCTGTGTGACCTTGGGGGAGAAGACCTGAGGCCTTTGCCCACGTCCTCAGAGCCTGGGACTGTCGTGCCGGTGCGGGGGGCAGGCCTCTGTCCCCTCCAGGTCTCCTCTCGCCCCTGAGTGTACGGTAGCCGCATCCGTGCGGTGGAGGGATGGCCTGTAAAGTGCCTGGAGCACCTTGCAGGCAGGTAGGGGCTGTGTGTCTGGCCCTGGAGGAAAGCCAGCCGAATCCCTGGGCCTGCACTCCCAAGGGAGCAAAGCAGCCATCTGTTCCCTGGAGTCCGAGCCCCTGTCACTTCCGGTGACAGGGTGAGTCCGTCTGGCGGCTCTGGCTGGCTGTTGGTCTGCTCTCCCTGTGTCCGCTTTGCTCTCCTAACTCTGCTTCCTGGGGGAGGATGGGGGATTTAGTTCCCGTGGGTCCCCCTCCCCAGGCCACTGAGGGGCCCCTTGCTCAAAGGCCTGTCCCCTCCCCCACTCCACCCTCGTGCCAGGCTGGGCCAGGCGCTGCTGGGGAAGGCGGGCGTTGCCTGTCGCCTCTTACACTGTGCCTTCCCCAGAACATCCTGCTGCCCACGCCTGCCCGCCTGCCCGCTCGCTCTGAAGCAGAAGCAGTCGGGCGGGGTGGGGCGGTGGTTAGCTGTTGTGTCCTGTAGTTATGCAGCCTGAAGTGGGCCTAAGCCCATCTGAGCTGGGATCGGGCCCCCTAAGGCCAGGCCCCCTGGATGGGAGGCTCATCACATGGCAGAGCCCAGTGACAGGGTCTTGGAGGGAGTCCCACTCGGGCCTGAGCCCCTCCCCGGGCTCTGCTCTGCCCCCAGCCTGCCGCCCACATGGCCCCTGTCATTCCAGTGCCTTTGCAGAACTTTTCAGACACTACCTGAGACAGGGCCACGGCCGACATTAGCTGGGAGGTAGACAGTGATTCAAGAGTGAGGCAGGCGAGCGGGGCTGCACAGACCCTAAGAAGAGGCTTTTCGCGGAGAGACCTCTGGCTTAGGCAGAACTGACTGCGAAGTGTCAGCTGTAAACTGACGGAAGCCAGGCGGCTCCAGCTGAAACGAGGGGCCCCTAGGACCCCCCACCTCAGCCATTTCCTCAGGCCCTCAGGGGCCCTGCCGTCACGGGGCTGGCCTCCCGTCACACACACCTCGGGGCTGCTGACCCTTGTCCCGAAGGCTGAAGGCTGGGCCTGCGAAGGCCTGATGCCTTGTGGGCTTTCCCAGGAGGGAGGGAGCCGCGGGTGGGGCCTGTCCTGAGGCCGCCTCGGGACCCCAGCCACCACCCCTTTCTTCAGGCCGACATCCGCTCTCGAGACTACATCCGCAGGACCCTGGGAGGCCCCGGGCCCCCCCGCACCAGGGCGGGAGAGGTGAGCGCTGGGGGGCTGGGCAGGAGGTTAGGGGTCCTCGGTGATGCCCACATGGGGCCGTGTCTGGGGGCTCAGCCTCTCCCAGGGCTGCCCCCGCCTACCTTGGGCCACGTACCTGGGAGGTGCTGGGGCAGGGGCCCCGCACAAAGGCCGTGGGAGTCAGGCCAGCTGGCCTCCCGACTGCATCACCAGCTGTGCCACATCCGCTCTCTGAGCCTTGGCTTCCTCATCTGCAAAGCTGATGTAGTGATTCTTGTCCTGCTGGGCTCTCATGAGAGTTCGGTGGACACGGGTTGTCACCACCAGCAGTGACTGGTGGTTTAATCTTGACAGCACCTTGACAGGAGACAGGTACTGTGACCCGCTTTACAGATGAGGAAACTGAGGCCCAGGGCGTTGATGAGCAGCGGAGTGATTTCAGTGGGTGGTGTGGGTTCTGAGCCTGGCCTCTGACATCCAGGCAGGAACCGGGCCCTCCCGGGTTCCTCGGGCATTTTCTTTGTTGATGTCCACCAAGCTGCTTTGAGAATGGCGGCGGGGGGGAAGGTGCGGCTGGGATCCCGGAGCTGTCCTAGGGGTGGGGGCTGGCCACCTGGGTCTGGCTGCACCTCTGGCCGGTCCCTCAGCAGCCCCCAGGGACCACCTGGTGAGCGAGGGGGCTCTGGGCTCGGGTGTGACATTGCCCCTTTTCGATGTCATTGCCAGGAGCCGGAAGGTGCAGAAACCAGAGGTGGGCCCCAAGGGAGGCTCAGAAGAGCAGGCAGGTGAGGGCAGGCCCCCGGGGCCCACAGCCAAGGCCCCAGAACGCACCCGGAAGCCCCAGGCATCAAGGAGTACAAGGGCCGGGGCTGAGGGTGGAGTGGAGCAGGGCGCCCTGAAGACTCAGGCCACCTGCCGCCTGCTTCCAGCCTCAGAACGGTAACCAGCCCTGGGGGCTCCTCTAGGGACTGGAAAGTGCCCCCCCAACAACACGTAGGGCACCCGGGCTCCAAGGACACAGCAGGCACAGCCCTGCCAGGATGGGCTGTGTGGTGGGTGGTCCCTCCTGCTGCACAGTCACGGTCATGAGGCCTGAAGTGGCCTGGAGCACGCTCAGCAGAAGACTGACTTCACGCCACAGAACGCCAGGCCCAGAAAGCGCGAGATCGCTTTTCCAAAGGCACGGGAGGGGACTCAGGGTTCGTGGGGACATGGGGTTTTGTTTTTTTCCAAAAGTGACTGGATGGGCTCACAGCAGGCAGACCTCATGTCATCCACAGCTTCTGCTCTGTCTCCTCTGACTGCACATTACCGATTGTTTTTTATTTTGCTTTTTGTTCATTTTTAACCCAGTCCCCCTCCTCGCAGCCACACTGAGCTGCTTCTGCCCCGACCTAGGACGGTCCGAGCTGAGGTTGGTCACTGGGGGGGCTGGGCCCCTGGCTGCCCCGCCTGCCCGGAGGGGGCCTGAGCAGGGGGGGGGGCGGACGGACATGCAGGGGCAGCCTGGGCTTCCAGACAGACACTGGCACTGGTGCCCGAAGGGCTAGGTCTCAGGCCCTGAAGCCTGTGCCAGGGCCTAGGAGGGTGGTGGCCCTGTCACCACTGGGTTCGAGGGCCGAGAGTGCTCTGCTACGCTGCCAGCACGGCTCCATGCCCCACCAGCCTCCTCACCCAGAGGCCCACTGTGGGGTGCAGCTGTCTGTCCTGGCCCTTTCTCGGTGTGGGTCCCACCAGGGCACTCGAGCCCCCAGGTTCCCCAAGGAGCCTGGAATCCTACCTGAGAGGAGGCCTTCCTTGCTCTCCGTCCTGCCTCCCAAAAGGGAGCTGGCTGTGGGTTTGACCGCCTGAAACAGAAGCCCAGGAGGCCCGGGTCTCAGCACGCCCTCCGTGCCCCCCTCCCGTGTCTGTTCACGATGACAAGTGAACCTCTCCAGGGCCTGGACCCGGGGAGAAGCAGAGGGCACAGTGAGCTAGGCAGCCTGCGGTTTGGGCTGGTGGGGTGCTGTTCCCCTTCCCCTTATGCTCCTGAAGCCCCTTCATAAGGCGGGCTGGGGCTGCCCCACTCGATAGCAGCCCCTATTGCGGACAAACCACAACCCCAGGAAGTGGGGCTGTGGGTGCCCCCAGGTGCTTACGGGGCTCTACTCAGTAGCCCACTGGAGTGAGTGGTTCCGTCATGTCCCATGGGTGCCTGCGAGGGGTCCCTGTAGGTGGGACGGACCGCTCCCCCAGGCTCTGACCTCTCGTGCTTTTGCCACCTCTTCAGGTGTCCCCTGGCACCTCTTCTCACCTTGGCAGGGCCCTGGGCAGCTGCTGCCTCATCCCCTCTTCCTGCTGAGACCTAGGGTGCTGAGCTGTCCCTGACGCCTGAGACACCGTGCCAGGGTGACTAGCCTGCTCCCCTGCGGGCCCTGTCCCTCACCGCCCCACAAAGCTCTTGGTGCCCCCTGCCTGGCACGGCACTGCCCATCTAACTTCCGGGTCTTTCTCTTCCTGGAGCTCAGGACCAGGGGTGAGGGCTTGGGAGCCCAGGCCAGAAACTGGGCAGAGCTGGCTGGGCCTGGCTGCCTCTTGCCTACTGGCCCTGGCAAAGCTGGGGTAATGCCTGTCCTGCCTCACCAGACAGCTGTGCCCCGTGTGCCTGGCACGCAGTCAGTCCCTGACAAGGGAAATGACATTTGAAGAAGGGCCTGTGGAGGCCAGCGTTCATGACCATCGGTCTGCAAGGCTGTTTGCCAACTCCAACGGTGAGAAGGGAGAAACCAGAAGGTATAGGGGTCCTCATGTACCAAGCTCCTGACGCCACCCCAGCCCCAGGATGCAGACCTGCAGGGCACACACAGGGGCGCTTCCAGGGGCGGTGTCTGCAGCAGCAGCCCTCCACCCCACCTCTGAGAACGGCTGCGTGGCCATGGCCTCCTGGGGTAGGAGTCAGGCCCTACGTGAAGCCACTGGTCCCTCTGACCAGGGGTCAGGTGGGCCTCCTGGGCTGGGGGCGTGACGACCGGACCTGCACATTCTCTGACGTAGGGGGCTCCCTCCCCTCCAGAGGAGCAGGCCACAGCCCAGAGGAGAGTTGTCTGCAGGCAACTAACAAGCCACCATTTTAAACATGTTAAAGGACAGACAGTTAAGTGGTTGTCAGTACATCCAAACTCACTAGTTCTAGAGCTTTTCCGTTGCCTTGGGTAGCGAAACCCTGGCCCCCGGCAGCTACTAACCTGCGTTCTCTCTGTAGACTTGCCCCTGGGCATCTCATCCAGACGGGTCACACTGTGTGTGTGTGACCTTGGTGCTGGCCTCTCTCCTTGGCACCATTTCCAAGGTCCATCTGCGTTGTAGCCTGTGCCAGTGCTGCTTTTTATGGCCGAATGGCGCTCCAATATATGGAGAGCATGTTTTTCTCTGCTCACCCATCATATTGGTGGATGTTTGGGTGGTTTCTCTGTGGGACCATTATGAATAATGCTGCCATGAACACTGAGGTACAAGTTTTTGTATGAACTTACGCTTTCAGTTCTAGGTAGATACCTAGGAGATACCTGGAATTTCTGGGTCATATGGTGACTGTTGAACTTTCTGAGGAATGGCCAAGCTGTTCTCCACAGCAGCCTCACCTGATTACAGCCCCACCAGCAGCACACGGGTTCCAGTCTCGCCGCACCCTGACCAACACTTGTCCTTGTCTTTGATTCTGGCCATCCTCGTGGGGTGATGTGGTATCTCACGGTTTGACTCACTTTTCCCTGATGCCAAACGACATTGAGCATCATTTCATGAGCTTATTGGCCATCTGTACATCTCGGGAGAAGTGTCTGCTCAAATTTTTTGACCTTTGGAAAAATGGGTGGTTTTTCGTTGTTGAGCTGTAACAGCTCTTTACATATTGCGGGTCCCAGACCTTTTTCAGTTATATAATTTATAAATATGTTCTCCCGCCCTGTGGGTTATCTTTCCATTTTCTTGATAGTGTCCTTTGATACATGAAAGGTTTTTAATTTGATGAAGTCCAATTTACCTATTTTTCATGTGTTGCTTGTGTATTTGGTGTCATTGAAGAAACCATTGCTTAATCCAAGGTCACAAAAATTTTTCTGTTTCCATCTAAGTTTAATAGTTTCTGCTCTTACATTGAGATCCATTTTGAGTCCATGTTTGTGTACAGCTCTTCGGGGTCCTTTGCAATGAATGCCACAGGAACTTTAGGACCGGCTGGTCCATCTCTGCAAAAAAAGGCTGTTGGGATTTTGATAGGGATTGCATGATCAACTTGGGGAGCAGTCCATCTCTCAACAATAGTAAGTCTTCCGCTCACTGAACATGGGTGTCTTTTATTTAGATCTTCATTTCTTTCAACAATGTTTTATAGTTTTCAGTGTACAAGATTTGTACTTCCTTCGGTTAAATTTACACCTACACATTTTATTCTTTTTTATGCTATTGTAAATGGAATTGTTTTATTAATTGCATTTTTGGATTGTCCATTGCTAGTGTATTAAAATAACAACTGATTTTTGTGTCCTGTGTCTAACTTGCTGTACTCGTGTGTGTGTGTGTGTGTGTGTGTGTGTGTGTGTGTGTGTGTGTGTGTGTGTGAGAGAGAGAGAGACTTAGGGGTTTTCTATACATGAGAGCGTGTCATCTGTGGATACAGATAGTTTTGCTCCTTCCTTTCCAATCGGGGTGCCTTTCATTTCTTTTCTTGCCTAACTGTCCTGGCCAGAGTCTCCAATCTCGTGGTGAATACAGTGGTGGGAGCAGACACCCTTGTCTTGTTCCCGATCTTTGGGGGAAAGACGTCAGCTCCCCATTGAGTGTGACGTTAGCTGTGGGCTTTCATAGATGCCCTTCATCAGGTGGGCAGGCTCCCTTGTATTCCTGCTTGTTGAGTGTCTTTACCACGAAAGGGTGTTGCATTTGTCCAGTGCTTTTTCTGCACCTATGGAAATGATCACTGTCCTTCATCTGGTAACGTGGTGGACTGCACTGATTGGCTCTCACATTTTGAGCCTCTCTCGCATTTCTGGAATAAGTCCTCATTGGTCGTGGTGTGTAATCCTGTTAGTGTGCTGCTGAGTTCGATTTGCTGGTATTCGTTGAGGATTTCTACATCTATATTCATAAGGGATGTTGGTTTGTAGTTTGCTTGTGGTGTCTGCCTGTCTTTGATATGACTGCGATGCTGGCCTCATAGTAGAGTTGGGAGGTTCCCCTCATCTGCTTTTTGGAAGAGTTTGAGGGGATTGGTGGTGATCCTTGTTGAAGCCACCTAGCCCCATGCTTTTCTTTGTCAAAAGGTGAATTGATTACTAGTTCAATCTCTTGTTGTAGGTCTATGAAGATTTCCTGTTTCTTCTTGAATCGGTAGCTTGTGTGGTTCCAGGAATTTGTCCATTTTATCCAGATTTTCTAATGAGTTGGCCTGTAATTGTTCATGATATTTTCTTTCTATTTCTATAAAGGTTCTGGTAGTGTCCCCACCGTCTTTCCTGATTTTGTAATTTGAGGTTTTTTTCTGAGTCAGTCTGGTTGTGAGTGGTTTCTAAGGAGCCCTGTCCCCACCCCCAAAGGTGCCCCCACAGTGACCCTGGCTCAGGGGGGGGTTGGGAGGGCAGAGTTCCCCCCGCAGGATTCGCGGAAGGTCAAGGCTCAATCCACATCTGCCTTCAAGTGCTTCCAGCTCTCCCCAGGCACACAGGCCCCAAAAGGTGCAAATCCTACCCCATCAGAAACTCATTACAGCCCCAGT